GATACTGTCTTATCACTTCCAATCTTCTTACAGGACAATATAAAGTCAAGTTTCCCTATAATTCAGCCTTGAAAATTATTTGACCCTATCAGAACCAGTGAAAAAAAATTGAGAGTCAAAAACACATCATCCTTATTAGGAGATATGTTTATAATCTTTGTCTGCCTTTCAAAAGGATTTAGTTGCCAGAAAAAAAAATTTTAAAAAAGATACTGTACTATCTGAGAGTAGTGATGGGAAGAATCTGTTGTGCATTTGTTTTGGCTTTCGGATTATCATATGGCTGTGCTCAGTGTTTTCTGCTGGCGGACTCGGGGATCATGTAGGGTGCTGGGAACTGAACCTGTCTTGGCCACATTCAAGGAAAGCACCCTACCCACTGTACTATCCCATCACCCTAGGAAGATTTTGTTTTTGAGCAAGAGTTTTGTATGAATATTTTAACTTTTTAGATGTGGTTTTTAGTCATCTTTTTAAAAGCTAAGATATCTGGAAGTTTGATTCTGTTGGAAATGAAGGAAAGTGTGTTTATTTTTGAATTAATCATTTTCAAGTAAGTCTCAGCTTCTTTGGAAAGTACTGATTACTCTCTCTCAGTATTATGAATATAACGGTTACTAGACTAAATTTACTTTTATGTATCATCAAAATCAAAAGCTTGTAGATCTGAGTTTTATTTTCCTCCTCGTACATAATTCTTATGTGGGAAAATTGAATTTGTTAGTCTAATGATTTATACTTGTTTCCAAGAGCATTTAAATTATACTTGAAAAAAGTTTTTAATTGCGATTCTGTGGTTTACGGTACTAATCGTGGTTTCTCATGCACATAATTCCAACACCTTTAAAGGTTGGAGAGTGGGTGAAGTGAGTGGACAAGGTGCTAGCTTTGCAGGTGGCTAACCTGGGTTTGGTCCCTCAGCACCACATACACCCCCCGAACCCCTACCACCAGGAGTGATCCTTGAGCCCTAAGCATCTTTGGATGTGACCCTCCCAAAATAAAACTAACAGTAACGATGCTTATAAATAAAAGTGATAGCCCTACAGTTAACATAGTGCCCATATTTCAATATTACTCAAAATAATAATGCTTCCAAGTAAATTTGATAATAGCTTTTTCATCTCGGCTTGCTAGTACCTCAATACAACCATAAAATGAGAAAGATTGACATACAGTAAAGCAACCTTAATTCTTACTGATTCAGAAATAAAACTTCCTAAAATAACTTCATCTGTGCATTTTTCTGCAAAGGTTTATGATTTTCGTTTATTTTCCAAAGGATCTATACACTGTAGTAAGAAGCATTTTGCCGAGATCACTGATTTTCATTCTGACAATTCACAGACCAGTGCAATTTCACAAAACTTTCTTGCTGGTCTGCTAAAACCAGTTGTACAGTGGTTTTCAGCTGTTGGCCCTTGGGTGGGTAGGTGGGTCCGCATTTGTAAAGATAAAAAATCATTGGTATAAAGGATCCTTTAGTGGTAACAGGGAACTGATTGACAAGTAGATACTACATGCTTTCCACTCAGAAGCTTCTATATAATAGTCTTTCTTTTAAAAAGCTTACCCATATTTGTGAGAAAGCTTTCTAATAGTAATCCTTACTAACCAGGAAAGAGTGATAAATAATACATGAAAACTTGTTTGTGCTGAGAATTGTGCTTAATTAGGCACAGGTTCCCTTGAACACTGCCAGGAGTGACCCCTGAGCACAGAACCAGGAGTAAGCTTTGAGCCTTGCTGGGTGTGGCCCCAAAACAAAAAACAAATGAATAAATATAAGTCACAAGATTACAGAACTGAAGCATTTGCAAAAGAAAATGAGAGAATACAGAGGTATAGCATTTTCCTTGCATGACACTTCACGAGCTGGGTTTGATCCCCATCGTGCGTTGTCCTCAAGCCACACCCAGAGTGTTCCCTTAGTCCAGAACCAAGAGTAAGTCCACAGAGCACTGTCGGGTGTGGCCCAAAAAAACAAAAAATAATTTATAAAAAAAAATTTTAAAAGGCAAAACTAGGCTAAGCATATCAATTCCTTCTATCTAAATTGAGATTTTTTTTCTCCCTCGGGAATGTATCTTAATACAATGTAAAATTTAAAATTTTACATTCTCTATTAAAACTTGATTTGCTCTGGCAAAATAGCATTACAGATAATTTTCATGAAAGTGTGTTCTAGTAACTTACTAACAAGTTTATGATCTCATTCTGTGGCTCTGGTACTGGCACATACCAGTAATTCTCCAGGAATTCTTAAACCTTCTTTATTCTTAACCTTGATCCAGCTTTTCCAGTGTGTTGATTTAAATGGCTCTCATTGTCTTGGGGTTGGGCAGGGATTTGTTTCACTGACTACTATATCCTGCGCATCAGAATAGTGCCTCCACACAGGCATTTTATGGAATGAATATCAACTTAGTTACTTATCCAGTGTCCTCAACATCATATACATTTAAGGGCTTGAAAATCACCATTGCAAAAAATAAAAATGATCCACAATTAAATCCTCATATATGAAGTGCACTTAAGATAATTTCTAGTCAGTATATCTTCAGAAGTGTCCAATAGCTTGTCAGACATAAACTGTGATTTCTGAGTTAGATGATTTGAAGCATATCTTTCATATAATCACTTATATACCATATTAGTTTTGAAGAAATGACTTTAATTTGAAGAGCTAACATTGAACTAAATCAGAAATGATCCTAAATGGTTCTAATGGTCACAATAACCTAATATCTTATTAAAATTCAAAACTAACAGATCAGCTGTTTTTTACAGAGATGGATATATTGATAACATGTCACTTAAATGTTATTGGGACTGACTTAAAAGTAGAAATTGAAAAAGAGTTTTGTTCAGATACCCCATACCTTCTATCTCTCCATAATTTACCTTTTCCTGGCCTAAATAGTAGGGTTTTTTAATGCACAGAAAACTGCTTTTATGACTCAGGATCTAATTTAACAAGGACTACTCATTGTTAGTAGGTTGGTAATTGATTTAATCTTAAAGTTAATTGTTCTCGGCATTTCAGGAATAGGCTAATACTCAACTACTACTTTCATTAAAATAGGAGACAGTGGCTGCCTAACCAAATGAAATTAAGCCATTCCTTAATGCTGTTCCTTGGGGTATCTGGGTATACTGAAAAACATGTTTTGGGTCAAGCCTACAAACTTATTTGGTAGGTGTTGGTCTTTACCTACCTCTATAATTAAACTGAAGACTTGTTCTGAAAGGTGAGTAATAGGAGCAATGATTTCTGTTGTCTGTGTTTGTAATGATCAGATTTTCTCTTCTGTTTATATGTTCTAATGTAAAAAAAAAATCCCTATAGTTATAAAACTAGAATTTTTGTAAATAAATATAATTTATTAGAAAAACTGGCATCTTTTTCAAAAAAGTCGGGTTTGTGTCAGCATTTTCTTTAATAACCTTATTGTAGAAGTTCGGTGCTGAGATTTTAGCTATGCACATTGCTCATGGCTTGAAAACTTCTTTTTTATTCAATTAAAAAAAGTAATGAGTTCATGCTTCAGTCGGCTTAATCACTTTAGTCAGCTTAATCAGTGGCTGAATAAATAGCAGTACACAGTACTGCTGCATTTAAGGAAAAAAAAAAACCACTTGCTTTTAACTCTAACGTTAGATCCCCCAAAGTGTTTCAATATCTTAAGCATTTATTTATTGCTTCAGATTTCTTCTATTGATGCAGTTGTCTATAAAGAAATGGACAAATTAAATTGTATGAAATGGGCAGGTACTCGTTTTTGCAGACATTTTTGATAAAATTGAGTTAACTGAAGTATTATTTTATCAAATTTAAATAGAAGTATATGATTTTCATACTTATAATATTAGATAATAAAAACTAGTGCAAAATGATGCAAGTGTGGTATAGAGAGAGAGTTCAGCAGGTAAGGGTGCTTGTCTTGCGTGCAATTGACCTGGGTTTGATCCCGGCTCTGCCTGGTATGGGACTTAAAACAAAATTTTAAAATTTGGGGTTTTTAAGGGCCAGAGAGATAAAATAGTGGGTAGGACATTTGCTTTGCTTTGCACAAATCTGATGAGGTTTGATTTCTGGGAATCCACATGTGTTCCATACACTGCCAAGGAGTGCTCCTGAGCAGCACAGCTGGGTGTGGCACAAAACAAAAATTAAGGGATTCAGCAAAATGGAGAGTCACTGATGGGTAGCACAGTCCAACTGTGATGAACAAAAGGATCTGGTCTGCACTTTCACTGTAGTGAATTTGGGTATTTAGGATTTAAGACTTTTAGTTACAGGATGGGAAATGAAGCATATAGGACTTAAAGGTTCTGAGTCATCAGTCATGAGACACTTGTCCTAGTATAAAATGAGATTCTATTCTTTTTCGGAATGAGTACTTCCCACCACCGCCTTATAAAATAAAACTATAAGACTTCAACTACATTATTTAGCACAGTGGAAATGGCACTGAATTAAGAATGAACAATAGAAGAATAATTCCTTAGAAGGTGCCATGTAGAGTACTGCAGGTAGGACACTGTTCTTGCACATAGCTGTCCCAGATTCCTTCCCAAGCAACCTATATGTTCCTGAGCATCCCAGCAAAGAAAAGTAAGTCTTTAAATGACTGAATTGTAGCCAAACGAGAGTGCTGTGGAAGCTACGAATGATTTTCTAAGTACATCTTGGGGGATATCTCTTCACTAACAGAATTTATTTGGTGATTACACTCTTAAGTAGCAAGGGATCTGACGTTCTTAAAGGGGAGTGATTTCCTTGAGGGAGCCCTGCTTTAGTTTGTAGCAGTGATTATCCCTAAGTATTGCAGTATGTGAGTGAGCCCCCTTCCAAGTGGGGCGTATTTTCTTTAAAATTTAGCAAATTTAAATTCTGAATTCAAGTAACAGGACACATCTGTTTGTAGATACAAAGACACAAGTATAAAACTGCTGAAAGTAAAAATATATCATTGAAGGACCACATTACAAAAGAGTAGTGTAAATAGTTTATTTGTCCATATGCCATGAAAAGACCAGAAAAGTAACATGAACTGCTTTTAAAAAACATATCTAATATTGCTAAGAAGCAGGCCCATTAATAGACTAACAGAAAAGAACATGCCAAAATTATAGTCTTATTTGTAGGTAACCAGGCAATTATTTCAACATTGAGCTTTAGAAACAAGCTCATTTTATTAAAGGACTTTGTGTTACGTTTCTTGGTCAAAATTTTTTTAAATATAAAAGAGTCAAAGGGAAGACAGAATCTTGGCACGTTCTTTTTGAAGGACACATTTATGAAAATGTGCTAGCAAGCGGCAGTTTAAAAGTATTCTTTTTGTAAATTGGTATACTAAAGTGAAGTGTGGCTGATGCCTAAACTGTCCTTGTAGTTAAATATATATTAAAAAAAAACTATAAGTTAAAATAACATTCAGATTGTATAGAATAGGCTGATGCATTTTTAAACAATATTTACAATATTACCCAGAGGCTTAGGTGGGAATTAAAGAGAAGTGTAAAAACCATAAAAAACTGCACCAATTTCATAGCAAAATATCTGTACATTTTAAAAGAGATATAACTACACATTATCCAAGGAAAATGGGACCTTCACCAAGGAGTTCACATAAAGCACAAAAAGAATTCAGTGGTTAAATACTATACAATAAACTTTACAATTAATATACTGGTGTAATGTACCAAGGTAAGCCAGAAGCAGAATATGTTTTATGAAAAGTACAAATTAGCTTCAGTCCAGTTTTTGACTTTGGAATGGATCAAGTGCCCTGCCAGAGATGAGGCAAAGGAAAAATAACTATGGCTTAGCCATTTAGCCTCATTACGTGTTTAAACTTAATCCCAAATGAGTATTTCGGCAATGTAATTGCAATTCCCCATTAAGTAAACTGGGAAGTGCCAGAGGGAAGTTCAGGGCTTAGTTAAGGCGCTTGCTTGGCGTGCCACTGGCCCCTGTTCAGTCTCCGGCACCTTATATGATCCCCTGTGCATTGCCAGTTATGGCCCCCCCAAAAAACAGACAAAACGTAAACTGGAAAACAGGACCTTCTTGATCTGAATGACAAATGTATCTTCCAATTTACAAAAGGAAGAACTTGGGGGTGGAAAACCTTGCCATTGTCAGAGGAGAGTGTAAGGCCTGGTTATAACACTCCACTTTGCCAGACGTAATCTTGAATGTTGTGTTGATAGAGCTAGTGAAGTTTTCCTCTGGCGAGCAAGGCACTGATTTCTAATCTCAAGATTGGCCCAGAATGGTCTCAGAACTAATACTGATAACTGAGATGTTAAGTTTAGTGCTCATTAATAAATACATTTGCATTGTTTAAAAGCTGCCTCTAACTGAAGAAGAACCAGTACTGCAAATAAATCTTAGACAATATTTTTATCATACTGGTGAATGTTTTTCACAGGTCATTGTACCCTAGCACAGAAGTAGCAGAATGTAAAACAAGACAGTTAAGTGACCTTCTATGCCACTAAAATTATATCCTGTTTGGTCTTTGTTGGCGCATGGGAATGAACAAGAGAGTTTATCACATGATTTTCCTCCCATATCTTGCAAGCCCTTAAAAATACAAAGCTGACGTGTATGGCTGAAACAAAATTCCTTAGAAGACATCTCAGCAAGAGAAGCCCACAGCAGATGCATCCATGTTATTTACAACTTTGCGGGGAACCAAGGTGGGCCATCATAGGACAATCACAATGGCAGGTAGTGAATGTAACAAAAAATTTACATTTTGGTTAAAAAAAATCGAGTAACATTGGTGTGTCAAAAGATACCTAATCAAATCAAATCCTATTGCTTTGATTAATCTGAGCAGGTACTTCCACTTTGAGGCACTTGTTAACAAAGGTTGAAAGGAAAGCCCGCCAATTTTAAGTTCCTATGTGTCTGCTAAATCTGAGCCCTTAGGATATTTTTTCTATATTCAAGGCTGCAGTTTAATGGTAGCACATAAAGTTCATGTGGACAGATATTCACGCACACCCTCAATTCATATAGGCAGGTACTGGGTTCATATGGTTATTTCGGCACCGTTAACAGAACGCAAGTTCTGATCATCAAAGCGCCGCCTGACACTTCTCCTCACCGCATCGGCTCGTCTGTATGGTTGGTTTCTAAGATCTGCAAAGAGGAAAGCAGCAATGAGTATTGTGACCTTTAATACTGTCTCAGCAAGAGAGGCCAGCTGGCAGCCAATCAAAGCAGCTTGTGTAGAAGAGACAGCTAAAGGGCCCTTCAAATTCACTTGAGTATTTGAGCCAAAGAAATACTATCCCATCAATACTTATTCAAACAGGATGCAATATGTAGGGTTTCTGGGCCTCACTGAAAGATACAAAGAGTTCATGTCACTGGCCAGAGTCTAATCTTTTTCTAAAAGCTTTCAATTAGAAATAACGTGATTTTTTTTTTTTTGCTTTTTGTCCTAGACAAACATTAAAATTAAAACGGAATTTTAGCTGCAAAACTTACTGCCCCCTTCCATCAACATTGAAATTTTAATCAAGGAAGGAACCTCCTGCTTTCTTTACAGATAAAGGTTCTGTTTTTTTTCTACTGTTAGCGGAAATTAGTTACGTAAATTAGAAACAGCTCAGTTAACCACGAAATAAAAATAATTACTAGGCTGAGGACATGAAGCACTTGCCTTGCATGTTGGAGGGTTTGGTTCAATCCTGACACTGATCACCACTAAGCCAAAATACTACTACATTTCTAAACTTCACTGGCAACTGTCCTTCATTTTCCGTTTTAAAAAGTCACGTATTCCTTCCTGCATTCTCCAGTTTTTACTGTGAATAAACAGCAGAATACCAAACAATAAAAAATGCCATGTATGAACACAGGTAGACATTTTGAGTGGAATCAAATGGAGCAGAGCATGCTTTCTTAATATGAATGTTTTCTTGAAGGTTTTTTTCCGACTCAGGGCATAGTGAAAAAAATAACGCTGACTTAATTCTCTCCCCCATGTGTAAGTAGTATGTGTTTCCCTTTAACTCAGTAGTGTCAATTTCTTTTACAAAATATTCTATTGTTAGAAGGGGAAAGAGATCACAATTAAGCCAGATTGAGTCTCCATTCCATTGCCTATTCAACACACTGAAAATGGTGTTGACGTGCAAGTTTAGCCCATTTGTTTTTAAGTATAGTTTTCTGATATCAATAATGGTACCGAAACCTAAAAGCAGGGTTCCTGACTTCCTCAGGGAAACCAGAAGATCTAGCAATATTGGGCCCAAATTATTTTGGGGTGGGGGACACACCCAGCATTGCTCAGGGGTTAGTCCTGGCTCTGCGCTCAGGCATTATTCCTGGGGTGCTTGGGGGCCATATGGGATGCTGTGACTCAAACCCTCCAGCCCCTGGGCCCAAATTCTTGCCTGGCAAAAATCAGCTGGAGCTGAGCTGGTCAGCAAAAAATAACCTGGAGCTTAACTGGTCAGCAAAACCACGACTAGCTTCTGATTCACTGGAAAGGCCCTGCCCTGCTGCTAATTTCAAGCAGAGAGTAGCTTCTCCTGTTCTAATCCTTGTGAGTCCAGAAAAGTAACAAAAGGGAAACAAAATTCATTTTAAGGCTGATTGGACCTAAAAGAATCTTTTTAAAGTATCCTTTAAAAGATACTCCCTGGCCAGGACCTGCTCTTAGATCCAATTAATAACTCAAAGACCTAGAAGAGGGTAACAGAAGGGTAGCCCAGCACCTGCAGCCAGTACATTATTCACAAATAACCCTTGCCCAAGCCATCACACTTGAGAGCATGAAAGCAGGCCAGGAAGAGTCTTAACATAGGCTCAGCCTCACATCATTAGAATGTGAGGTGCAAAGATTCCCCTAGTCAGACTCTCACCAGGATAACCCTCAGTCATAGAATGGAACCATTGATCTGCATACAGAAAGAAGAGGAAGCTAAGTAAAAAGTGATGCTTGCCAGCTCTGTGTATCCTCCACCACCGGTGTGCTAGAAGAAATCCTTACCCTCGAGTGAACATTTGGAAATTTAGTGATATTATTCTTCTTTAAGGCTGAACAGAAAAAACAAAACAAAAACAAAAAAAAACACAAAATGATGGTTAAGCAAAAATGGGATGAAAATGGAAAGCAATTCAACTTAGTGTTTTAACATTCCCGGGCATGTTAGCCAACAGGAAGAGTGTGGGAGGTCATTACTATTAGAAAGGTTAGATTCAAAGGAAGGATCAGGTTCTTCCCACCCAGCTCTGATCACTCAGATCCAAGCTGCTTTGAAGTTTGGCTCCAGAACAACAGAGTCCAGCAGTGAAACAAATAGCAGACAGCTGAGTAGATGATAGTGTGAAGCTTTTTGTTAATAAGCATGGTGGGTTAAGGACACTACAAAGCAAGCAACAACACACCAAGTCCTTTGACATCTTCAGAGACTGAGACATACACATAACACATGTTGTTAACAGAAAACTGAATGCCACGAAATCAGTTCCATGTCAACCTCAAGATGGGGGTCAGAGGAGGGCCATTTCCTTGTCTTAGAATTTCTAGTCATCTGGACATTGCAAAGAAGCAGATTACTTATCTAGGCACAAAGAAGTAAGCCCAGTAACTTCCTGGGATAACAATAACTTTATCCCTTTTTTAAAATTCTAAGAACTGATATTTCCCAATTAATGAGGTTTCTTGTGGGTTTTTTGGTTTTGTTTTGTTTCATTTTGTCACTGGGCTACTGGAGGTGCTCAGGGCTATTCTTGGCTCTTGCTCAAGAATCACTTCTGGCAGGGCCTGGGAGACCACTTGTGATGCTGAGGATCAAGTCCAGGCTGGTCAAGCTAAGTGTCCTGCCTGCTGTACTATTGCTCTGACCCCAGTTAATAAATATTAGCTAATAAATAACTTAGGTTTGACATGGAACAAAGTCACCAGTGAAGTAGAATGAATGATGTAAGATGAGGGAGCAAGTATGCCTCACTTTTATTCCTGCCTCACAATCTTGCTCCAGCATGGAAGTGTTTGAGTCTGTGGATTCTGTCCTTCACTCCAAAAAAAAAAAAAAGCAAAACAAAAAAACCCCAAAACACAAACCAGAAAATTGATCAGATAATAAAGTTGAGTATAAAGCTGTATATATTGCCTGTGTCAGTTTATACAGATTTCTCACTGAATAGGGCTATTTTAAGCACTCATCAGGAGTTCCACCACACTGCCAGAGGTGTAGCAGTTTTAAACTGCAGGGAGGTACGAAGGATCCAATTTACGGCTGACATAATTCGCATAGTTTCTTCTGAAAATGATTTTGCCAGGAGAGCAGTAAGCATTCCTGTACAGCTCACTTGGACTATCAAAGCATGTTAGGTGAGTATAAAAAGAAGGCTGACTTCATAGCTGTGAATATTTGAACACTTAATTGAACACTCAGTAGGGTGTTAAATGTTAAAATAGCCAACAAATGTTTAAAAGAGTTAATGACCATGTGTTCAAAAATGTCAGACCACAATATTTTATTAACAATTAGTTGGTCCCTCTCCTGCTTCTCAAACTAGTATTTTCTGTTTTGCAACTTCCATGCAGCCAGACCATTGCAGCTGTGAGGCTTCATCAATGCATTACAAGTGGCAGTGAATGAGCAGTAATGACTATCGAAGTGCAAAATCATGCAGTATGAGGGTGACATACAATAACATGATGGAGATTGCAAATCCATGCGACCATGTTGGGTGGCCCTGACAGACATACATAAGAGGTCGAAAAAAAAATTCTGTAGCCACCTTTGGAGAGCATCAGTTGAGAAAGGGTAATAGTTTAGTAATGGCATTCCTCAGTGAGAACAGGTTCGCAGAAAAATCGAGAGCCACGCTTGGCGGTGCGAGCAGTAAAGGGCACGGTCTTCAGCACTGCATTGGAAATGACAGCCGAACAAGACAGACAAACAGGAAGGAAAAGCCAAGACCCACAGCATTAGTACAGGGTTAGTGTTCTGTTAATCATACCCGAGGAACAGGATGGAGGATGTGAGCATGAGAGGGGAAGTGCAATATTATACCCAAGTATGTTCATCAAGTCTACAAGAATTACTCCAACTGGGGCTGGACGGCACCACCTCAGCCCCCTCTCCCAGGGCCTCCCGCCCGGAGCCGGAGGGTAAGGGCAGCAAACAACTTATTCCAAGGAGAATGGAACTACTCTGTAAGCCTATCTTCATTCACCTCTGCTGGGATGTGAAAAAGCAAGTCAGGCAAATAGAGACAACATTTTGCCCATCTTACCAGCCAAGGGCTGCTGGGTGATGGGAAGGAACTCCTGAGGAATTGACATGTTAGGCTGGGCACAGCTTTATCAGCAGGTTCATTTTACCGCAGATGTCAGGTGCTTACTCAGACCTGTTCCTGGTTTTATTTGGAGTAGAGCTTTTCCCTTTCTGTGTGTGTGTGTGTATGTGTGTGTGTGTGGGGGGGGGGGGGGGGGGGGAGAGTGTAGGAGCGGGGCAGGAGAGGTGCCAATTCCAGGGGCTTTCTCTGGGGGGTCAATCACAAAGCCAGTGCACCACTGGTACTGAGGAACCAGCAGGCATATGTGTACAGAAGGACACAGACGTGGGGTGGACTGTCGGGATTACTGGACACCAAGGTCTTACACTGCTGGCTTTGAGCCAAGAACTTGACTGACTTCCTTTTGAGTGATTTACTTCCCGGGTCTGAAGTGGTATAAAAAAAAAAATTAAAATTGTGATTGGGGCTGTTTGGGACCCGTTTCCAATGATTAAGCTCATAACCAAAAAAAAAAGAGAGAAATTAAAACTCCTAAAGAGTCACACTTTTTAAAAAAAATCAGAACGGATGAAGAAATGGGAATGATGACTGGACATTTGATATGAAGGACCTGCTTCAGAGGAATGTAATAACGCTGGCTCTGAGCTGAGAACTGTGGGCATCTTTGTTTTAGTACATTTCAGTTTTGACTTTGAAGCTAAAACTTAATGAGACAAGAACCAAGATCCTTGCGCACTATTCCTCACTGACAAATGGCCACTCCCAACCCCTACTTAGTGACCCAAAAGAATATATAATTGAAACCCAAGCACAAAAATTTGTAAGTCTACAACTGTACCTCATGATGTCTCACTAATAAAACTTTTTAAAAAAAGAATAAAAATACCAGCTCTGAATGTCCCACTGTAGTTACTCTGAAGGAGTAACGAGGCTTTTAAAGAATATGCTGGAAAAATCTGCAGGGACTGTGGTTAGTACAGTCTTCAGTGGGTCCTTTCAGCAGCATTTAAGAATTGGGCAGAAATGGTAATGAGGAAGGAAATGGAACATGCTAATAAGTTGGAGACCATGGAAATCCATTAGCTCCTGGGTCCCCAGTGAAATCTACAAGGTCCCACTGACATTGAGGACAAGTTCTGAGAATTTGGGCGGTCTTCGATAGGGCTAAATATATCATACACTAGCATGAAACACTAGCATGGAACCCCTCTGCTTAACGTTGAACCTGAATAAGTGAAAAACTCGAAAACTATGGACAACAAAAGTAGCAAAATATGCAAGTGGCCAGTGTGAGCAAGGCCAGAGGGGTGTGCATGGACAACAGTGAGAAGGTATCTTTTACCTGTAATAATATCTTCTATGGCACCATCTTTTCCTTCATATACATGTCTATTATCTTTCACTTGTCGCCTTCTCAGTTCCGCAATTAACTCTTGCTGCTGTCTCTTTGATTTGTGGGAAGGAGACTAAGAAAGAAGAATAACAGATTTAGTGGGACCAAAGGCACCCAGATGGTGAGGACATGGAGAACACATGTCTGTGGACTATCACCAACAAGCAGCTTTAGGGGAAAACAAAGAGCATCATCCTGATATTCTGCTCAAACACAGGAAGAGGGCTGGAGAGATAGTACAGAGGGTTGGGCACTTGCCTTGCACACAGCTGACCTGGGATCCATCCCAAACATCCCATATGATCCTCCAACCCACCAGGAGTGATTCCTAAGTGCAGAGCCAGGAGTAACCCCTGAGCATCGCCTAGTGTGCCCCCAAACAAAATAAAACAACCTCCTAAAACCAAAAACAAACAACAACAACAAAAAAAATCAAACAGAAACACTGGGAAAGTATCTGTCTGGAAGACTTAAGAATACAGAAGTCTGCACTGGCAGGTAGCAAGAGCAAAACGGGAGCCTAGGACAAGAAGCAAGAGCCATCCTTGGGTTACCAGCAGGAGCCATCGACTTCTTTTTTGTTGTTTTGTGTTTTTTGTTTGTTTGTTTGTTTTGATTTTTGGGTCACACCTGGCGTTGCACAGGGATTACTCCTGGCTCTTGTACTCAGGAATTACTCCCAGTGGTACTTGGGGACCATATGAGATGCTGGGAATTGAGCCTGGGTCAGCTGCGTGCAAGGCAAACTCCCTATGCTCTGTGCTATCGCTCCAGCCCCAAATCATTGACTTCTAAAATATTGGCGCAGGAGCTAAAGATGAAGAACCCAGTGGCAGGACAGTTGTTGTGACCTTACCAATGAACCTTCCACCCATAAAATTCTCCCTTACATCCCTCCTCATGAAGCAAGTCTCAATGATGTCCCCTGGAGGCATCTTCCCTGCACACTGAGCCCTCGAATGGACAGCCTATACCAGATATGATTTACATTACAAGTCCCCATAAGCCTGGACACCACACAGACACACTCTTCACCTTAGCAGGGCAGTCTGTGCTGAATAAGTGATGTACAAATCCATGTCCTTGTATAGGAGCCTGAGAAGCCATTAACGGGCCCCGGACAGGTCACCTCCCAGGAACCACTGCACTGCCCGTTCCAGGTAGCCTCCTTCAGAGCCCAGCACTGCTCACCTTTGGATCCTGTTGCTCCATCAGCGCTTCCTGCTCCAGGAGTTTTTCCATGAGTGCTTGCTCCTGCTTTTTCCTCATCTCATTTTCCTCTTCTGCTTGCTGGAGAAAGTTAAGAAGAAGTCATGAATTATGGCAGGGGAGATGATAGCAGTCACAACCTCTCAAATTAATTCTTTAAGACTCATTCTGTCTGAAGGTACAAGCTCTTCTGCCAAATGCCTCTTTGGGTCACCTGCTTGACTGACAACTTTCAAAAAATGGGGCCAGAGAGAAGACACAAAATGCAGGGAATTTTGCCTTGTATGAGGCCAACCTGGATTCCATTCCTCGGTATCCCAAATGGTCCTGATTCCCATAAGGAGTGATTCCTGAGCGCAGAGCCAGGAGTAAGTCCTGAGCATCACCAAGTGTGGCCCCCAAAGTCAAAATTAAATATACCAAGAAACTTCCAAACTAGCACCTGCTTCCGTCCAGCTGATCTACACCTTTGCTTATTATTAAAGACTGTGGGCTGCGACCAGGCAAGAGATTGTGTAACTGGATATGGGGTTTCGGGAATGATGTGACAACAATAAAAGGTTTCTGAATAAATCATGACCAAAAATTAACTCAAAGTCAAGCACAGAATGAACCCAGGTGTTTCTGGCAGTATGCTTGCCCAAGTTACATTACTCAGACATTATAAAAGGAGTCCCAAGAGGAAAAACTTTAAGAAGCCTGAGCTAAACTAGAGATTTTCCAGTCTTCCTTCTTATTTATGTGGCTTAGTAGCAAAGCATACTCCTGGCATTCAGGAGGCCTGGGTTTGCTCCCATTCCCCAAAGAGCAAACAAACAAAATCCCCCTCCTAAAATTCTTAATATTGGTCAAGTCCTAGCACCAACCGAGGGCCCAGCCCACCACATCACAATCAGAGCAGAATGGAGTGAGGTTGTGGTGGGGCTGCCACAGTCTCAAGCTGGCTCAGATGGTTCCACTCAGGTGAGTCACTTTGAGAACGACCAGGCTTGGAGCCAGAGAGATAGTACAGCAGGTATGGCAACTGCCTTGTATGCTGCCAACAGGTATTCGATCCTCAGTCTCCTGAGCACTGAAAGGAGTGATCTCGGAGTGCAGAACCAAGACTAATTTCTGAGCACTCCTAGTGGGGCCCAAAATCCAGAAAGGAAAAGAGAGAGAGAGAGAGACAGAGACAGAGACACAGAGACAGAGAGAGACACACACACAGAGAGACACAGGCAGAGAGAGAAGCACCAGGTAAGACAGGGCTTTGCCAACTTTTTCCACTGGCCTTTTTGCTTGTGAAAGTTTTATATGAGGGCCGGAGCGATAGTACAGTGGGTAGGGTGTTTGCCTTGCATGCGGCTGACCAGAGTTTAATCCCCGCCATCCCGTATGGTCCCCCAAGCACTGCCAAAAGTAATTCCTGAGTGCAGATACAGGAGTAAGCCCTGAGCATCCCTGAGTGTGACCCGAAAAAAACAAAAAAGAAAAATAAAAGAAAGGAAGTTTTACATGGCCCCAGACATATAAAATAAATCAGATGATATTTACTAAGTCATAAATTTATCTTGAGACAACTGTCTCACAACTCCACATGAGACTGAGATGCAGTTTCACAAGCTAGGTTCTAGACCACTGGTGTTCAAGCATGGACATGCCCACAAGGTGCAGAAAGGCTGAAAACTGTGATTATCACTTGGGTCCAGGCGGCAGCCCGCAGATATGAAAGGCTCCCGCATGCTGCTCTCAGATGCCAGGGCCTGGGACTAACATCTGCTGGTTCTGCCTGATGCCAGCTATGGCACTGGCAGCAAACACCAGGCTTCACTGTTTCCAACTGCCAAACAAAGAAGCAACTCTCCTGCCTCAAGGGGGCAGCCAAGAGCATTTATGAGGGGTTTGAACCCTGCTCCTGGCCTGCCACAGCAAAGCACACCTAACAGGTCCAGACTCAGCACCCAGAACTACCCACTGGTCTTTGCAGAGCCACCCAGCACCAGGGCCAGCACCAGGAGGAAGTGGACACCTGCCATGAAGGCTTCCCAGGGTGCCACACGCCTGCTTACCTTATAGGCTTTCACAAAGCGCACGAAGACGGGAAAGAAGACAGATGGGGGTGTGGTCTTGGGGTTTTCTCCAAAATACTTCACAACGTCATCAAAGGCGTCCTACAAAGAAGCACATTTCCACTGAATGTCCTGCGTTCCATGGAGCCAGGAACCTGCTGCTCTGGGGAAGAGCAGCAGTCCAGTGGCTGCGAGGCAACTCCCAACTCACTCACTCGCTCACTCACTCACTCTCTCTCTCCTCTTCTCTCTCTCTCTCTCTCTCTCTCTCTCTCTCTCCCTCTCTCGCTCTCCCCCCTCTCCCCCCTCTCACTCTCTCTCTCTCCCCCTTCCCCCCCCCTCTTCCTCTCCCTCCACACTCACCAGCCACCAGCCTCAATGTCCTGATGAGCATAATGTCCTGATGTGTGCCACACACACACACACACACACACACACAAACACACACACACACACACACACACACACACACACACACACACACTCTCTCTCACACTCACACAAGAAGAACTATCCAACTGTTCTGGAAGACCATGGCAGAAAACCATGGCAGAAAGCCTATGATCCCATAAGGGTAGAAATTATCCATGAAGACCTCAGACTTCAAATATCACTCGCCCATCAATGATGCTTCTTATAAGATCCCACCATGGGAATCAAGTGTCCAGGATCTTCAGTGCCTGATCCATGGGCAGCCACCTGCAGTCAAGGCCCTCTCTCTGCATCTCTAAAGTCCCACATTCTGCGATGCATGAGCAAGCTCCCCAGGCTCTTCCTCCAGCATGGCAATCTCAAACCCAGGGCTGTCTGTTACACTAAGATCAAACACTACAGATAGAAATCTGACAGCAGAAATGCGGAGCCCAGGCCTGACACATCGGCCGAATCCAAGATAGGACTCACGAGGAAAGCTGGGTAGGGTGAAGAGGATTTGAAAGAAGAGAGTGAAGACCCCAAATTAGAGACATAAAATGAGCAGGGTGGGGCAGTGCCCAGTGCAATAGTCAGAAAGATCCTTCAGTGAGCTATCACGACTACTAAGAAATCCACTCGGGGCTGGAGCACAGAGGGTAGGGCATTTGCCTTGCATGCGGCCGACCCGGGTTAGATTTCTAGCATCCCATATAGTCCCCTGAGCACTGCCAGGAGTAATTCCTGAGTGCATGAGCCAGGAGTAACTCCTGTGCAATGCTGGTCCCCTGTGACTCAAAAAGCAAAAAAAAAAAAAAAAAGCTAAAAATTAGGGGGGAAATAAGACAGAAATAGAAAAAAAATTGAGACTGTACTTTGTGGAAGACTTCTGAAATAAATTTTATATTAACACATATTAGATTTCTATCTCTTCTTAAAAATAACTGATATCAGGGCTGGAGTGATAGTACAGCAGGTAGGATATTTACCTTGCACGCGGCTGACTCAAGTTCGATTCCCAGCATCCCATATGGTTCCCTGAGCACGGCCAGGAGTAATTACTGAGTGCATGAGCCAGGAGTAACCCCTGAGCATCACCAGGTATGACCCAAAAAAGCCAAAAAAAAAAAAAAAGAGAGAGAAAAGAAAAAGAAATCCACCTCTGGCAAGTGAAGCAGGTGGCTTAGTGATCTAATCACTTCTCCGAAAACGGCAAAGGTCACAGACCTGGGCTATCTTAGCATCGTCCTGCAGCTTCTTCAGCTTCCCCTCGTTGTTGAGGATGAACTCCTTCAGCAGCGTGTTGTGGTCATGCATGGTGTATTCTCGTTTGGTCAAGTCCATGCCCCGCTGGAGTTCCTTGACATCCAGCAGAACGTTCTCAAGGGAGACTAAAAGAAAAGAAGCATGTCGCCATGAAAACCAACCCTCGAGGGACAGTACAGGTGTCAAGGCCCTTGCCTTGCACGCTGCCAACCCTGGTTCAATTTTGGCACCAGTTATGGTCCCCTGCTCACAGCCAGCTGTTCTACGAGCAGAGACAGAAATAGACCCTGAGCACTACTGAGCGTAGTCCAACCTTTCCCATCGCCACCCTCCCACTCCTCCAAAATATCATAGCAAGACTTAGGAGATGTCCCAAAGGCCTGGAGCACAGGTACTGCATGCACGAGGCCCTGGGTTTGATCACCAGGCTAGGTGGTCCCTGAGCACTCAACCATCAGGTTGCACCACGATGGGACAGCTGGAGATGCCCCCAGGATCCTGGCATTACTGGGGAGCTCCACCCTAAAACACAAACTCGCCTCAAGTCTAGTGAATTCTAAGGGCTATTTAAGGTTGTTGGATTTACCCATGACAATAATCTCTCTCAATGTCAATGGTCTAAACTCACCAATTGGGAGGTGCAGAGGGGCAAAATGGATTAAGAAACTGAATTCAACACTCTGCTGCCTACAAGAAACACACCTGAACAGTCGGAGCAAACACAGACTCAAAGTCAAAGGCTGGAAAACAATTCTTCAGCAAATAACTCTTTCCAAAAAAGCCAGAGCGGCCATACTTGTATCCAACAACATAGATTTTAGGCTGAAAAAGTTTAGAAGGGACAGCAAAGGCCATTTCTTAATAATCAAGGGATATGTATATCAGGAAGAAATTACACTCCTAAACATAGATGCACCCAATGAGGGGCCAGTAATATACTTAAAACAAATGTTAACAGACCTCAAGGAGAACTTTGATAGCAACACAATAGTAGTCAAAGACTTCAACATCACCTTTTCACCTCTTGTAAGATCAATGAGACTGAAATTCAGCAAGGAAATACTGGCTCTGAAGGAAGAAATGAAGAGAGAAGGCTAGTAGATAATACAGGGTTTTTCATCCCCCAAAAGCCAAACACACATTCTTCTCCAATGACATGGAAGATTTTCCAAGATAGACCATGTGCAGAGCCAAGAAACATACCTCAATAAAATCAAGAAGATAGAAATCGTATCAATTATCATTTCAGATTGAATGAAATAGAAATTAACCACATAGAAAAATGGAGACTCAAATCAAACACCTGGAAATTAAACAGCTCACTGCTGAACTACCAGTGAGTTAGAGAGGAAATCAAAGAAGAAATCAGAAGATTCTGGGACATAAATGAGAATGAGGACATGAGCTAATAGAACCTATGGGACACAGCTAAAGCAATGTTAGGGGGAAAGCTTATATCTCTGCAAGTGTTCAACAAGAAGGAAGAAAGGATCCACATGAATAACTTGACTTCACATCTTAATATCTTAGAAAATGACCAACAAAAGGAGCCCAAACCAGGCAGGAGGTAATAAATAATAAAATTTAAAGCAGATATCAGTGACCTGGAATCCCAAAAACCAATCCAAAATATCAATGAAACCAAGAGCTGGTTATTTGAAAATATAAACAAAAAAAATGATAAACCACTAGCAAGACTCACAGAGAGAGAGAGAGAGAGAGCCCTAATAAACCATCAGAAATGAAAATGGGGACATCACAACAGAAACCACAGAAATTCAAAAGATCATCGGAGATTACTTTAAGAATCTGTAGATGTAAGCAAGATAACCTGAAAGAAATGGGTAAATTTTTGGATTCCTTTAACCTCCCATGACTGAACCAGGAAGACTTGTAAAACCTGAAAAGACCTATAACTATCAGGAAAATTAAAACAGAAATAAAAAGTCTTCCCAAAATTAAAGACAGATGCAGAAGAATTCATTACTGAATTCCTCCAACCCTTTGTTTTATTTTAATAGTTTTTTTTAAAATTATTGAATCACCATGAGATAGTTATAAAACTTTCATAATTGAGTTTCAGTCATACAATGATCGAACACCCATCCCTCCACCAGTGTACATTTTCCACCCCAATGTCCCCAGAATCCTTACCACCCAATTCCCATCCCACCCCTCCCCCTGCTTCTGTGGCAGACAATTTCCCTCTTACTCTCTCTTTACTTATGGGTACTATGGTTTGCAATACAGATAATGAAAGACCATAAAGTTTGGTCCTTTATTTGCTTACAGCACACATCTCCCATCCCGACCGATCCCTCATCATTGACCATCCCTTCTCTATCCCAGCTGCCTTATCCCTCAGCTCAAATTGCAGGCTTTCAACCCTGGAGCAGTCTTCTTGGCCCCGTTTCTAACTGTCCTTGGGTATCATTCTCATATTATGTTATTTTATATTCTACAAATGAGTGCAGTCATTCTATGTCTATCTCTCTCTTTCTTACTCATTTCATCTAGCATGATACTTTGCATGTCCATCCACTTACAAGCAAATTTCATCACTTGATCTTTCCTAACAGCTTCATAGTATTTCATTGTGTAGATGTTATATCATTTCTTTAACTAGCTGTTCTCTGGCACTAGGGTTGTTTCCAGATTTTGGCTATAGCATTGCTGCAATGAACATATAGGTGCAGATGTCAAAACCTTTAAAGGGGACTTATTGCCATCCTTTTCAAGCTTTTCCAGGAAATTGAAGAAACAGAAACATTCCCAAACAGTTTCTAAGAGGCACATATCACTATGATACCAAAAGCAGAGACACCACAAAAAAAAAAAAAGAAAGAAAGAAAATTACAGACTGATATAGCACAGATGCAAAGATCCTCAACAAAATATTAACAAACACAATCCAATGACTCATCAAAAAGATCATACACCATGACCAAGTGGGATTCATTCTGGGGATTCAAGGATGGTTTAAAATTTTCAAGTCAATGAATATAATTCATCATATCAATTAAACATAAGATAAAAACACATGGTCATATCAATAGATGCAGAGAAAGCATTTGACAAGATCCACGACCCATTTTATGATAAAAAATCTCAACAAAATGGGTGTTCAAGGAACTTTCCTCAATATAGTCAAAGCCATCTATCACAAGCCCACAGCAAGCATTATTCTCAATGGAGCAAAGCTAAAAGTCTTCCCTCTAACATCAGGGACAAGACAAGGATGCCCACCCTCACCACTTCTATTCAATATGGTGTACTGGAAGTACTTGCCATAGCAGTTAGGGAAGAAAAGATATTAAGGGCATCCAGATAGGATAGGAAGGAGTCAAGCTCTATTTGTAGATGACATGATAATATACTTAGAGAACCCTAAAGCTTCTACTAAAAAGTTCCTAGAAATTATAGATCTGTATAGCAAAGTGGCAGGTTACAAAATCAATATCCAAAAGTCCATGGCTTTACTATATACAAATAATGAAAGAGAAGAAAGTGATATTAAAAAAAATTCTATTTCACAATCATGCCTCAGAAAACCAACTACCTCAAATCAGCTTAACTAAGGAGGTAAAAGACTTTTACAAAGAAAACTACAAAACACCATTTCAAAAAATAAAAGGGGATATAAGGAAATGGAGACACATCCTCTCCTCATGGATTGAAAAAGTTAACATTGTCAAAATGGCAATATTCCCCAAAGCATTATACAAATTCAGTGTGGTCCCTATAAGGACACCCAGGACAGAAACACATATGAAACAATAAACCCCCATGAATAGCTAAAGCAATCTTGGAAAAAAAGAAGATAGGAGGCATCACCTTCCCCAACTTTAAATTGTACTACAAAGCAGTAGTAATTAAAACAGCATGGTATTGGAATAAAGACAGATCTGCTAACAAATAGAATCGAGTTGAGTATCCTGACACACACCCTCAAATATATGATCATTTCATTTTTGATAAAGGAGTAAATATATATATATATATATATATATATATATATGTTTGTGGAGCAAAGAAAGTGGAGCAACGAGAGCCTCTTTCACAAACGGTGCTGGCAAAATTGGACAGCTACATGCAAAAAAATTGTCTCAGACCTCTAACACCATGCACAAAAGTCAGGTCATAGTGGATTAAAGACCTCAATATCAGACCAGAATCCATAAGGTACATCGAAGGTCGGCAAAACCATCCACAATACTGAAGCTAAAGTATATTCAAAGATAAAACATCACTGACCAAGCAAGTGGAAGCAAAGATAAACAAATGGGACTATCTTAAACTAAGAAGCTTCTGCACCTTAAAAGAAACAAACAGTGACCAGGATACAAAGACAGCATACAGAATGGGAAAGCTTATTCACACAATACCTTTCTGATAAAGAGTTAATATCAAAGATATACAAGGCACTGGTAGAACTTCACAAGAAATTAAAAAAATCCAACCCCATCAAAAAATAGGGAGAAGAAATAAAAAGAAATTTTGTCAAAGAAGAAATTTGAATAGTCGAAAGGCTCATGAAAAATTGCTCTCAAACCCAATCATCATGGAGATGCAAATCAAAACAATGAGGTATCATCTCACTCCACAGAGACTGGCACACATCAAAAAGAAAAAGAACAACCAGTGTTGGACCGAATACAGGGAGAAGAGGAGTGGCCATTCACTGCTGGTGGGAATGCCAGTTGGTCCAATCTTTTTAGAAAACAAAAAGGACGTTCCTCAAAAAACAAGAAATTGGGCTGGAGCATTAGTACAGCAGGTAGGGCGTTTGTCTTGTACTCAGCTGACCCAGGTTCAATCCCCAGCATCCCACATGGTGCCCTGAGCACCACCAGGAGTAATTTCTGAGTGCAGAGCCAGGAGTGATCCCTGAGCATCACCAGTGTGACCCAAAAAGCAAACAAACAAGCAAACACAAAAACAAACAAAAAAACCCCAAAACAATCAAGAAATTTAGCTCTCATTTGATTCAGCAATACCACTTCTGGGAATATACGCTGGAGGCCCAAAAACACACAGCAGGAAACACCATCCTACTCCTATGTTCATTGCAGCAGTATTCCTAATAGCTAGAATCTGAGTGCCTGAGAACAGACAAATTGATAAAGAAACTACGGTACATTTACACAATGGGACACTATGAAATGGTTAGGAAAAGTGAAGTCCTGAAATTTGCTTATAAATGGATGGACATGGAGAGTATCATGCTGAGTGAAATGAGGCAGAAGGAGAGGGACATGACTGCATTCATTTGTGGTAGCTCTGTAGCACTGTCCTCCCGTTGTCCATCGATTTGCTCTAGCAGGCACCAATAACATCTTCATTGTGAGACACGTTATTACTGCCTTTGGCATATTGAATACATCAAAAGGCATCATCTTCTCCTGTTCTGCATATGAAGGGATTAGTGTACAGCATTGCTTCCACAATTCCTGCAAACTTACCCCCCAAAAGTTAGAGATTAAACATAGGAACTGCACTGCACTATAGCACTGTCCTCCTGTCGTTCATCGATTTGCTCAAGCAGGCACCAATAATGTCTCTATTGTGAGACTTTGTTGTCACTGTTTTTGGCATATCCAATACGCCATGGGGAGCTTGCCAGGCTCTGCCATGTGGGTGAGATACTCTCGGTAGCTTGCCGGGCTCTCTGAGAGAGATGGAGGAATCGAACCCAGGTCGGCTGCATGCAAGGCAAAGGCTCTACCTGCTGTGCTATCGCTCCAGCCCTCATTTGTGGTATATAAAAAATAAATAGTAAAAGACTAATATCCAAGGCCAGGGAAAACAAAGGCTAAAAGTAATGGTCAATGGTTGGAATCTACCACAAATGTGTGTGGGGCAGAGGGTAGGTTAGACAGAGAAGAGACCAGTATGACAATAATAGTTGGGAATGATCATGCTGGACAAGCACTGAGTGTTAAAAGTAGGGAAAGGGATATACATGACAACCTTTCAGTATCTGTATGCAAACCACAATGTCCAGGAGCAATTCATGACTGCAGAGTCGGAGTAACCCCTAAGCATCAATGAGCATGGCCCAAAAAGCAAACAAAACAAAGCAAAACAAAGATGAAGTACTTTTTAAACCATTGCATTTCTGCGTTTCTCCTGCAGGGGGCAGCAGTTTATCGGTTTCCGCGACGTTGGACAGCTTCGTGTTAAATCACACTCTACCTCAAAAGTTGACTAGTACATGAAATTTGCTTAAGTGGATGGTCATGGAAAGTATCATGCTAAGTGAAATGAGTCAGAGAGGGACAGACATAGAATGACCGCACTCATTTGTGGAATATAAAATATCGTAATATGAGACTAACACCCAAGGACAGTAGAGACAAGGGCCAGGAAGATTGCTCCATGGTTGGAAGCCTGCCTTATGAGCTTGGAGGAAGGCTGGGATAGAGAAAGGATCACTAAGTCAATGATGAAGGATGGTCGGGATGGAACATGTGTGCTGAAAATAGATGAAGGATCAAACATGATGGCCTCTCATTATCTGTACTGCAAAGCATAATGCCTAAAAGGAAACTGTCTGCCACAGATGTAGTGTGAGGGGTGGGTTTGGGGTAGGGATACTGGGGACATACTGGTGGTGGGAAACGTATACTGGTGGAGTGATGGGTGTTCGATCATTGTATGACTGATTCAAACACGAAAGTTTTTATCACATTGTAGGTCAAGGTGATTCAAAAAATAAAAAGAAAGTTGACGGGAGGGTGGGAAAGTGGGGGTATACGGGGGATATTGGTGGTGGGGAATGTGCACTGGTGGAGAGATGGGTGTTTGATCGTTGTGTGACTGTAACTGAGACGTGAAAGCTTGTAACTCTATCTCACAGTGATTCAATAAAATAAAAATTTAAAAAATTTAATAAAAAGAAAGCTGATTAGCAGTTGACTCAAAAAAATAAAAAGAAAGTTGACTAGGAAGCTCCCACCCTGTCCTACCCCAGCCACAGCCTCCAGAATCATCTTCTCCTGCCTGAGTTCTGCATATGAAGGGATTAGCGTACAACATTGCTTCCACAATTCTTGTAAACTTACCCCCCAAAAGTTAGAAAATAAAGATAGGAACTGCACTGCACTGCAGCACTGTCCTGTTATTCATCGATTTGCTCGAGCAGGCACCAGTAACTATTGTGAGACTTTGTTGTTACTGTTTTTGGCATATCGAATACACCAGGGGGGAGCTCGCCAGGCTCTGCTGTGTGGACGAGATACTCTCAGTAGCTTGCCGGGCTCTCCGAGAGGGACAGAGGAATGGAATCCGGGTCAACCGCATGCAAGGCAAAGGCCCTACCTGCTGTGCTATCGCTCCAGCCCAAACAGAGGAAGTAAAGTGTAAAGCGCCCATGTGGGGCTTTCCTGGGTTTCAGAGAACACACAAAGAAAGCAGTTCAGCCAGAGAGCCTTTGACTGGCCCCCTCCCATATCCCCATTGATTTCCTTTGTGGGGGTGGGGCAGGAATTGGGGCTACACACACTGGTGCTCATACCTTTCTCCTGGTTCTGAACTTAGGGATCACTCTTGGAGGGGTTCAGTGGACCACCTGGGGTGAAAGGGTTCAACCTGGGTTGGTCACATGCAAAACAAGCGCCCTGCCCATTGCCCTGTATCTCTGACCGCATTACTGATCATTTCCAAATGACGCTTCCAGGGAATGGAACGTAGTACAGAAATTAAGGGGCTTGTTTGTGCATGCAGTCAAGCCCAGCACCGCATATGGTCCCCCAAGCCCCACTGGGAGTTACCCCTGAGAACAGCTGGTTGTGGCCCCCAAACTAGAAACAATAATATCAGTAACTGCACAGGCTTCAAAGGACATGCAAATAATTATTTTATAATGAACATAGCAGAAGAGGAAGAAAAAGAAGAGAGATTGGGCCAGAGAAATATTATAGCCTCTTGTCTTGCATGAGGCTGACCCTGGCTCTATCCCTAGCACCACATATGATCCTGCAAGCACCTGCAACAATGACTCCTAAGCATAGAGCCAGGAATAGCCCCTGAGGACCTCCGGGTGTGGCCTCAAAACTCAACCAGCCCTGCTAGAAATGAACAGGTACTACCCAGAGGGCAGAAGTAGCAGTCATGACTGTGTGTGAGAATGTCAAACAAATCTTGCCCTTACAGACTGTACAGGAAAATGAACTGCTAAGAAATATTGCTGCTATTCGGTTTTAATTCCATCTGAGAACCACAGCATGGAAACATCTCCAAGATGAATGCGCTTATGTTCCTTTTCCAACCTCAGATTCCATGGAGAGGACATGGTAGACTGGACGATAACTGTACAAGAACCTGGGTTCTAGTTCTGCTCCTAGCTCTTTCTCCCCACAGGGCAGTGGGCAAGGCATTGAACTTGTGGAAAAATGTCCGTTTAGGGGCTGGAGCAATAACACAGCGGGTAGGCATTTGCCTTGCAAGCGGCCGACCTGGGTTCGATTTCTAGCACCCCATATCATCCCTCAAGTACCACCAGGAGTAATTCCTGAGTGCAGAGCCAAGAGTAACATCTGTGCATCACCTGGTGTGACCCAAAAAGAAAAAAAATGTCCATTTGCTCCAGGACACCTGGGGATACCTGGGGATACTTGACTCTTGGAATCAGTGATGACTGACCTGGGAAAATACACATGGCAATGCCCTGTCACTTGCCACGTTGGGCAAAGGAGAGTGCGCACAGACCATTTTCTTTCCAGAGTTACTGGGATCAGGCTCAGATTTTCTTTCTCGTCCTTTCCAAGGATGGTGACAGTATTTAAAAAGTCAAAGAGTGTTGGTACATGAAGCCCAAAGACTATGGCACTTTTGTTTGTTTTATCTGGGACCGCACCCAGCTTGTGCTCAAGGTTTATTCCTGGTGGGGGAGAGGGGTGCGGGGGGGGGGGGGGGGGCGCATATGTGGTATGGGGTGTTGGGATCAAAACCAGGTTGGTCACATGCAAGAAAAACACTATGCCTCTGGCCCCGCAGTCTGGATCTTTATAGTGAGATCCTCATCATAGCCATGCTCTGTACTGCTGCAAGACAAAATGCCTCTAGCCTGCAGCCTGGACCTTAACAGCGAGATCACCTCCATAGCCATGCTCAATACTGCAGCCTGGAGCCAGCTACACACACCACAGCCCATGTGTCCAGGGCAGAGCCTGCACACTGGCCTGGCCTTTTGTCATAGCATCTCTCTTTTTTATGTTCTGGGGTTGAACCCAGCACCTCGTGCATGCCAAGGCATGAGTTCTATCACTGAGCCACAGCCAGAGCCCCGGCCCTGCCTTTATAAAAGGGTTCTAAAGAGTGCGTGCTTCCACAATGCCCCTCGCTGACAGGCAATCCATACCACCCCAGGAACATTCAGAGCTGAAATCAAGTACCTGCAGCAGCCTTTTCCACATAATGAAGCTCATTATAAAACAGGGACACTTGGTGGTACTTTTCTTTGACAACATTCGATATATAGTGCAACAGTGTTTGCTTTCGGTCTGTCGACTTTGTATCCAAAAGCTGAAACAAAAGGGACACGGGTTAGCACGGAAGTCAGTGAGAGAGAGCTACCCAGCGCAGGACGCATTTTCCTCAGCGTCCAGGGGCACCTCATAGGGCAGGTGACCAAAGAGGAGACGGAAGATCCTCACAGGAGAGTCCAGATTGGGTTTGTCCTTCTATGAACCAGCCTATGGGTTTTCTTTTTCTTTTCTTTCTTTTTTTCCCCCTTTTTTGGTCACACCCAGCGATGCTCAGAGGTTACTCCTGACTCTGCACTCAGAAATTTCTCCTGGTGGTTCTGGGGAGACCATATGGGATGACGGGTATCAAACCCGGGTTGGCTGTGTGCAAGGCAAAGGCCCTACCCGCTGCACCATCGTTCCAGCCCCAGCCTGTGGGTTTTCAAAGCCAGGAGTGGCTGACCCCAGGGTACTCTGCAGAGATGACTCAGGAACTGTTCACACATCCATACTGACATGAAGTTCTCTCACTCCACCTGCTCTCCTACCCTCTTGGAAAGCACAGGGAGTCCAGTTTCAGCCTTCCACCAGGACACAGAGTAGCCATGGGTGTGGTGCTAAGTGGTGAAGACGAGAGCTCTCAATGTGCCTGGACCTCGCCTCCAGACTCCCTGTACAACAAACCTGTGTGTTGTGTGTGTGTGTGTGTGTGTGTGTGTGTGTGTGTGTGTGTTTGGGTGCACACATGCCCGCAAACATGTGTGCATGCAAGGAGGTTTGCTATTTATTGAAGTAACACTGAACCATAACAGGACAAAAGTTTTGGGTCTACATCACTGCCAATCATCTGTATAAATGAGGTTCTCCAGTAAACAACCAACTCTATAACTTTACCATACAATTGACCCTTTTTAGTCAGTGAACTTGCTTCCTTTTTACTTCTGGCTATTTATTGATTTGTGGTTTTTCAGGTCAACTCAGCACTGCTCAGGACTTACTTCTGGCTCCATGTTGAGGGTTCACTCCTGGTGGGCTTGGCGGACCTTATGTGGTGCAAGGCAAAAATGCTTAACCCACTGTACTATTGTTCTGGACCCCCTTCTTCACTTTTTTTTTTTTTTTTGGTTTGTGAGTTACAGCCAGCAATATTCAAGGGTTACTCTGGGAGGCGCTTGGGGGAGCAGGGGATGCCGGGTGGGCTGGGTGCAAGGCAAATATCTACCTGCTGTACTATCGCTCTGGTCCCCTCCTACTTTCTTCCTTTTATTATCTACTGATTTGGTCATATAGCCTACACGTTTAGGTTTTTTTTTCCATTTATTCCATTTATTCCCATTCCATGGGACATCAAAAGACGCCTGGCCATCCACCTACAAGATGGTCTAACTTCTTCGCCAGGACCCTGAACAAACGGTTTGATGCTCTTTGTGTTCCTGGAGCGAGCAGAAGCCACTAGGCTACACTAGCATGTGACAGGGATGAACGGAGACGTTACTGGCACCCGCTTGAGCAAATCAATGAGCAACAGGATGACAAGTGATAGAAGTGATACCTAATTTATTTGCTTGCATTCTCTACAGACACTCACATAAATAAAAAAGCACGTGGTATTTGTCTTTCTTCTCTTAACTTACTTTGCTTAACATAATTCCCTCTAGTTCCACCCATGCTGTAGCAGATGGCTGGATTTCATCATTTTTTATAGCTGGGTAGTATTTCACTGTATCCATACATACAACTTCATTGTCCAATCTTACTGGGCCCTTAGGATGTGTAAATGTCTCTTTGAGTCAGTATTGTCATATACCCAAGATTGGGGTAGCTAAATCCTACAGCATTTCTAATCTTATTTTTCTGAGTAACCTCCATAACTTGTCCATAAAAGTTGTGCCAATTTACAGTAACATCAACAGCTCAGCTTGATTTCCCAACCACTGATATCTCAAAGCTGATGGGTTTAAGAGCATGGCATTCTGGGGGTACAATCTGTGGCAAACTAGATTATCTATTATTATTATTTTTATTCCCACAAGGAATAATTGGGCTAGAGCAATAGCACAGCCGTTAGGGTGTTTGCCTTGCATGCGGCCGACCTGGTCAACCCGAGTTTGATTCCTCCGCCCCTCTCAAAGATCCCGGCAAGCTACAGAGAGTAACTCACCCGCATGGCAAAGCCTGGCAAGCCACCGGTAACATATTCGATATGCCAAACATAGTAACAACAAGTCTCACAATGGAGACGTTACTGGGCCCGCTCAAGCAAATCAATGAACAATGGGAGGACAGTGCTACATTAATTTTATTATCATTATTACTAGTATTTTAGTTTTTAGGACACACTCAGGATGTGCAGGGCTTACTCTGTGCTCTGTGCTCAGGGATCACTTCTGGCCATGTTGGGGACCATATATGGCACCAGGGATCAAATAAGGTGAGTGTCTTAAGTTCAGTACTGTTGCTCTGTACAAATATTGCTTGGGCGGAAGACTCTGTCTAGTAATTCCCTCTGGCAGAACCAGGACAGCCTGGAGGAGAATTTTCTCTAGTTCTGTTCATATAAATTATATAATTGAAAACCAGAGTCTCTTTTACACTCCCCCAAAAAAAGAAAAAAAAGTTTTAGAAAATACATAAAATCACAAGGTTTGAAAAAAATTCATTAATACTATTCAGTTTCCTTGCTGGGTATTAAACCTGGAGCCAAAGCGATAGTACAGATAGTAGAGTATTTGCCTTGCATGATGCCAACTCAGGTTTAAACCCTGGTATCCCATATGGTCTCCTAAGAACTGCCAGTCCCTGAACACAAAGCTGGGAGTAATTCCTGAGCAGAGCCAGTATGGTCCCCCTGAAAAAACAAAAAACAGATGTCAACTTACTTGCATTCATTTCTTTTGTTTTGTTTTGTCTTTGTTTTGTTTGGGAGTCACATCTAGCAATGCTCAGGGGTTATTCCTGGCTCCACACTCAGGAATTACTCCTGGTCATGCTCGAAGGACCATATGAGTTGCTGGAGATCAAACCCAGGTTGTCTGTGTGCAGGGCTAAAGCCCTACCCGCTGTACTATAGCTCTCGCCCTAACCTACCTCCAATCATATTTTACTTAACTGAAATCAAACTGTACGTGCAATTTGTACACTGCCTTCTTTCTAAACACAAAATTGCCCATTTCTTTGAAAATCTCACAACACATTCTAACAGTTGAAGGTGTCTGTGCTGGTTATTATCATAGCAAATTTAGCTATTTCCCCAAACATCAGATGTGTACAGTGTAGCTAGTTACAGTATCCATAATGCAAGAGTTCTGAATGAAGTTGTCCAGAGGTGGAAATACTGGGTCCAAAGGTTTGAGCTTTTTCGAAGTTCTAAGGATTTGAAGCCAACCAGATTGTGCTGCAGAAAATCCGAATGAACTGACTGCTCCACAAGGGGGATGCAAGGGCCCCCCTATTCTGCCCCCCCCGCCCGCGCCACACACACACACACACACACACACACACACACACACACACACACACACACACTTGCAAGGGCAGTTCTTCTCTGCAGTGCTGAGCTGGCGCTAGCTGCTTCAGCCCTCATGCAGCTCTGTTTCAGTTCACTCACCAGATCTAAACTCTGAAGCTTAAAGCCATACACTGCTCCTCGCTTACTGCTGTTCATATAGTTCCCAAGAGCCAAGATAATCTGCAAAGAAAGAAAAGGAGAAAACCATCAACACATCGGACTTCCCCTCCCTGTGGTGGGAGACACCCATCTGAGATGTGCAGTAGAAGAAAACTTCACTTGCCTCCAGAATTTTCTTGAGTTTTTGGGATGACTTTATGGAGACAGACGCTGCTATAACTGAGTGCAGTTGCTAGATTCAAGGCCAAGGAAAGAGAGAAAGGGGATGAGAAAAAAGACATGTTAAAAATGGGAAATTCTAATTGAAAACTAAAAACATAGAAGTAAGCATGATTCTAGACTTGAAAACTTTAACACTGATCCTATTATGCCCAAAATAGAATTTTCCTTAAATACGTTTAAGCTGTTCCATGAGGTGTTAGAGAAGTGTATCACTAAATGGAAACTATTTTCTTTTTTGCTTTTTGGGGCCACACTGGCAGTGCTCACTCAGGACTGTGCACTCAGGGATCACTCCTGGAAGGATTGGGTGAATATATGGAGTGGTAATGTTCAAACTTGGGTCAGCTGCATGCAAGGCAAACTTCCTACCCACTGTAACATCTCTCTAGCCTCAGGTCTCTTTTCTTAAAAGCATGCAATAACAGAACTTGCTCATCACAAAATCTGTGATCACTGAGATACCTTCTAAAAGACATCCATAAAAAAAATAAATAAATGAAAAATAAATTATGAAAGACATCCTCCACTGCTAACGATGTAATACAATACAACACAATACAGTACAGTGAAGTTAATCTAAGAATGAAAAAAAAGCAGCAAAGGAATATGACCAACTATAAGAAGTTCTTGGAATGTGTTTTGAACAGACATGCTACTTTAAATACTAATTAGCAAGAGCTTATTTAGAAACAGACCTGGTGGTTATATGGGTTGTAGACATACCCCAGCAAGAGGACTTGCCATGCATGTGTGAGGCCCTAGGTTCTATCCTCAGCACCACCACCAAAAAAAAAAAAAAAAAGTGGAGCTGGGTGTGCTGAGGAGACAGCTCAAAGGGCTAGAGTGCCTACTTTGGCCCCAAAGAACCACAAGGAGCCCCCTCTTGTGTCCATTAAGTGTGACCCCCCCCCAAAAATAAACCAAATCCTCCCAAAAAAACCAAAAAACTTAAAGAAACATAACCAGGAAAGAACTGGTTTATAGCATTCATAAATCTCCAGCACATTAACACAAAGAAACAAAAGGTAGGGGCTGGAGTGATAGCACTGCAGGTAGGGCATTTGCCTTGCACGCAGCCAATCCAGATTCGATTCCAGCATCCCATAGGGCACCCTGAGCACCACCAGGAGTAATTCCTGAGTGTAGAGCCAGGAGTAACCCCTGAGCATCGCTGGGTGTGACTCAAAAAGAAAAAGAAAAAGAAAAGAAAAAAGAAAAGGTATTCATTATTTCTCATCACCATGGTTCCTATATATACTGTTCCTATATCACTGTATCACTGTCATGCCGTTGTTCATCGATTTGCTGGAGCAGGTGCCAGTAATGTCCTATTTGTCCCAGCCCTGAGATTTTAGCAGCCTCTCCTTACTCGTGCTTCCTAACGGTGCTGTACTGGAGGCTCTTTCAGGGTCGGGGAATGAGACCCGTTATTGTTACTGTTTTTGGTATATCGAATACACCACGGGGAGCTTGCGAGGCTCTGCCGTGCAGGCGGGATACTCTTGGTAGCTTTCCAGGCTCTCCGAGAGAGGCTGTTCCTATATATATCGTAAAAAACTTTCCAAAAAACCCCACCAACCTCTATAGCAAATGTAATGTTTCCAATGAAAGCCAAAAAACCTGCTCACTAAAGATATGGGATCATTTTGAGGGGAGTGGGGCAGTGGGAGAATACTGTTTTGTGGCTACACCTGGTGATGTTCAGGAAACTCTGTGTGGTGCCAGAAATCAAACTGCAGTCGAATGCATGCAGGTAGTGCCTTAACATCTATACTGTCTCTCCAGTCCCAAATACAAGACTTTTTTTAGGGGGGGAGGGGGCGAGAGTTAGGGTTGTACTACACCCAGCAATGCCCAGGGATTACTCCCCGCTCTGCTCAGGAATCACTCCTGCTGGGGGCACAGAGAACTGTATGTGGAGCTGGGGATGGAACCCAGGTCAGCTGCAGGTAAGACAATCTAATGTACCATCTCCTCTGCTCCCAGATACAGAATCATTTTTTAAAAAATAAAAGCCACATTTTTAATCTTGCAAGCCAGACAGAAGTCAGGAGAGGACCATGCCAGTGAAAACGGATTTCCTTTCCTCTTGTACTGCAGTATCATGTGAAACTCAGGACATCTGTAGAAACCGGAAAGGGCATTCTTGAGAGAGCATGGTAAACAGAATATGGGAGCAGGCTATTTTCAAATTTACTGGGCATACCATGCGAACTGGGCCAAATTACAATGCAATCGAGAATGTTCTTGGGTAGGTGTCTTTAGAGACCATGACTCTCAGCACAATTCTAGGGAGACTTAAAGGAACATCTTTCTCTGTCACTGTCCTCCCGTTGTTCATCAATTTGCTTGAGCAGGCCCAGTAACGTCTCCATTGTGAGACTTGTTGTTACTGTGTTTGGCATATCGAATACATCACAGGGAGTTTGCCAGGCTTTGCCATGTGGGCAAGATACTCTCGGTAGCTTGCCGGGATCTCTGAGAGGGGTGGAGGAATCGAACCCAAGTCAGTCTGGTCGGCTGTGTGCAAGGCAAACACCCTACCCGCTGTGCTATCTCAAAACAAAAAGGTCCTGTATTTCTGGACAACTCCCTTGGTGGTCCACTCACAGGAGTCAGCATCTGAATGCTTTCAGCAAAGTTGCCAATGAAGGCCATGATGGTCATCTTCTGCATGAGTCTCTCAATCTTACTGAACTGCATCATGAACCGGTCTTCATCAGACAAGTTCTCCAGGGGTTTCCTTTCCCGCTCATAGAGCCGGAGCACTTTCACCTCGTTCTCCGTTGGCAAAAACCTCATAAGACATTCTACAAAGTCTACAGGCAACGTCTTCAAGTCAAATCTGAAGGCAGACATGAATAAGTCAGTGTTGGAGACAAAACATCCCACCCTTTAAACCTCCACACCTCTTCCAGTCCAGCCCGAAACACCAAATTGATAGGTGGCTGAAGGTTACTGTTGGAGTGTGAAGACATCACCTCTTGGCCTGGGCTCCTTCAGAAAAGGACCTTCCTAAACATCAGACCTATCTGAAGCACGATCCTCAGCTTTCAGGCTTGGAGGATAGTCGAAAGCCTCCATTAAAGGTAGACAATGAAAGGAAAAGATAAACAAAGGCAGAAGTTGTCTGCGTGTTAAGGACAGTGGGTCAAAGACACAGTTTCTCAGCAGTGTGCAGTATGATCGAGTTATGAAACTTATAGCTACCCACATAGTACAGAATCTGCTGATTACAGTATTTCAATGAAATCAAAAGTCTACAACATTTTTTTCTTCTTTAGAAAGAAAAATATCAGCCAATGGCCTGCTCTCCAGTGATGTTCTGGCTTCGGTGAAACATCCCAAGAAGAATGCCAGGTATCTGTGCATGCGTTACTCCTGGCTCTGCACTCAGGAATTACTCCTGGAAGTACTCAGGGAGCCATATGGGATGCTGGGAATCAAATCTGGGCCTGTGTGGAAGGCAAGCACCCTACCCATTATAATATTACTTAGGCCCCTTGCTGAAACCTTAATTGTGTTCTTCAGTTAACTTTTGTTTGACAAAATAATAGGTTGTATTTAATAATCATGATAAACAAGATATAAAAATTAACTGAATGTGTCTTAGGTTTCAACATCAAACAATGGCAGAAATCAATACTCAGTCCCTAGGAGACACTAGACAAAATCAGATTATGAGCAGGTGGAGGACATGAAATCAGACCAAATTAGTTCTCAGGGCCATTACTCCTCTAATGGTATGAAATACCAATTTCTGGTCAATTAACTCCAAAACCATGCAATAACATCTTTAACACACTTGAACAGGAACTCAAGAAGAGAGATTCTGAGAGAAAAGCAAGCAATGGTAATCTCTTCTCCGCAGTTCTGGGATTTAAAAAAAAAAAAGGAAGTGAACTTGGTTTAAAATGTCCTGAAAGTGTAAAGAATAATAGGAATCACCTTCATTTTCCGATCGTTAAAATACGCATCTGTATTCTATTTGCATCTGGGGCTGATCTGCATCATACCACAAATGCCATCAAATTTGTATTCAGTATTTCTGGAAAATTCAGATAATCCAGAGGAAAGTGACATTTTCTCCCTTATCTTAGCATCGGCAATACCCCAGTCAGCTTCGCTTTCATCTAAGTATTACTGTCGGACTGTATTAGAAAGCAGATTAAGATAATGAATGCTGTCACAATCCAGTTTTTACTCTTCTGAAACAATAAATGACTCACTGGATACAGCTCTCCTGAGGGGCATTTCTGGCCCAATTCTTTAATGTCAGCACTTTCTCTGACTCTGAAGTCACACATTCTCAGGGGTGTGGACGTCAAAACCTGCTTCCTCTTTAATCTGAGATCAGGCCTCACTATTGAAATATTTCTGTTATCTATCAACTCATAACTTTGCAATATTCATTTTTATCTAAATTTCTGAGACATAATTTTTCAGAATGCCCTGAACTTACACATGAATAGCTTTACATATCTCATCGGCAGTCTTTCCAGCTTTCCTTAAAGTTATGGCAAGATTTTTGGCCCGATTTGCTTCCAGTAAAGTCACTTTGTTTGGTCCCTTCTGTGTTATCTTCTGCTTGCTTGAAGAGAGATCAATGGCAGGACCTTGGGCTTTTGTCTTAAATATTTCCTCAAATTCATCTACATTTAAATCCTGTGATAGAGAGGGATGAAAGAGGAAGATTGGATTATACTAAAAAATTAAGTTAGGGGACAGGAATATACTTCATGCCCATACCTCCCCACCTAAGTGCCACGCATATACATACACACACACACATATACACATACACAGTACAACACACACACACAGAGACACATGCACGCACATACACATGCACAGAGTAAGGAAATCACTATTTGCATAATTTCCTAGGTGTCAAAAAGCCTGCCTTTCCAACACATTGCTCTCTTCCTATTTGTGTCAGAGTCTGACTTGTTCACATAAAACAAAGTGAATGTGTTGAGTACAAGGATGATCCCTATCAGCAAATTCCATAATCAGCCTGCGTGGATGGCATTATCGATTTAAGCTATCCATTAAACCAGTAAGTACTATTATATCTTTATGGTTCCTTAAAGGGTTTCTATATCCTTTTATAAATTAAGAGCAGGGATTATATCAGATAGGCATTTTTTTTTGCAGCATTTGATAAAGATGCTCAAATTCATTTCCTTCCTTCCTTCCTTCCTTCCTCCCTCCCTCCCTCCCTCCCTCCCTCCCTCCCTCCCTTATTCCCTCCCTCCCTCCCTCCCTCCCTTACTTTGCTTCCATTCCTTCTATTCAGTTTTTGGACCACAATTGGCAGTGCTCAGGGCTCAGGCATAGTTTTGTGCTGAGGGCTCAGGGGACAATATGGGCTGCCACTCAGTTGCATGCAAGGCAAATGCCCCACCTTCTGTAATATCACTCATGTTCCTACAACAGTTTCATTTCAATATAATTTAATTTCATTTCAATATAATTTTAGTTTGACAACTGCAAGTGAAGTGATAAAGGAAGGCCTCAAAGAGAGAAGAGCAGCAGTGCTGGTAGATGCAGCAGAATCCAGAAAAGGCATTCATAACACCTGCCTGTCCAACTACAAGACCAAGACAACTGCCCTCCGACATCCTGATGGATCTATCATATCTTCCAAAAGGGCAATGGAGAATATTATCCATGACTTCTATTCGGCTCTCTTCAATAGCCACATCTACCTGCCCACATACCAAATTCCGCAGGATGGATAAGTCGTTCCCAACTTTCTCCCTTCCAAAATCCGACACACCATTTTGTCAGTAAAGAAGCAAACAGCACCCGGCCCAGACAAGGTCAGAACTGAACACCTGAAGAACCTGCCATAAGTACTCATCAATACACTGGCTCGGCTCTTCACATGCTACCTGTCTGAATGCAGGGTTCCATTCCAATGGAAAACCAGCAGGATTGTACTATTGTACAAGAAGGGAGATATCCACGACATTGGCAACTATCTGCCTGTTGTCTGTCATCCACAAGCTATTCACGTGAGTCATCCTGAATAGGATTGGCAGAACACTAGATGAAGGACAATCATGTGAGCAAGCCGGGTTCTGATAAGGATTCAGCACGATCAACCATATCCACCCAATAACCAAGCTCATTCAGGTTTCTCGGGAGTTCAAGATGCCGCTCTGTCTAACGTTCATTGATTTAAAGAAGGCCTTTAATTCTGTTGAGATGGTAACGGTCATCATAGCCCTAGCCAAACAGGGCGTTCAAACTCAATATATCAGGATCCTCCATGAGCTGTATTACTACCAGGATCTCACCATTCTACAAGGAAGTGGTGATCCACGTCAAGAGAGGGGTTTGGCAGGGTGATACCATTTCACCAAAACTCTTCAGTGCCACCCTCAAGAACGTCATGTGATGACTGGAATGGGAAGGAATAGGAGTGAAGATAGACAGCTGGCAACTACACCACCTCTGCTTTGCTGATGACATCATTCTAATAACACCAAATATTAGCCAAATGGTACAAATACTGGCCGACTTTGACCGTGAGTGCAGAATGGTCAGACTTCAGCTGAATCTCACGAAGACAATGTTTATGAGAAGTGGTCTCATTCCTGATGTTCCATTCGCTCTCAACAAAATGAACATTTCCGAATGCAACAGTATCTAAGTCGAGAAGTCATCGTGACAAATGACCTGGCACCTGAGTTGCACAGGAGGAAGAGAGTGGCTTGGAACGCCTTCATGAATGTCAAAGAAATAGCTAAGAGGACGAAGAACTCCAGCTCCGGGAACATCTTTTCAATTCCACTGTTCTTTCTGCATTAATATATGCCTCAGGGACCTGGGCCCTATGAAAACAGGATGAAAACGCTATTTGGGTCTCTCAAAGAGGAATCGAAAGAGCTATGCTTGGAGTATCACGCTTCACTCAAATGAGAGAAAGAATCTGGAGTTCTGACATCCATCGACGGTCAAGAATCAGGAACGCTGTCTCATTTGCCAAGGCGTCAAAAATCAGGTGGGCTGGACACGTAATGAGATTTGGAGATGACCGCTGGACTAGAGCTGTTACCAACTAGATTCCATGGGACGTTAAAAGATCGCATGGCCACCCACCTATGAGATAGTCAGACTTCTTTGTTAAGACCCTGAACGATCAGTTTGAGGCTTTTCATGTTCCTAGAACGAGCAGACACCATTGGGCTACACTAGCACTCGACAAGGACAAATGGAGATATTACTGGCACCCACTCGCAAATCAATGAGTAACAGGATGTCAAGTGATCAAGTGATCATTTTAGTGAGAAGTGGTAGGGGGTGAGCTATACCCAGCTGTCTTCCTGGCTCAGGAATTACTCCTGACTGTGCTCAGTGGATCTTAAGTAGTGTCAGGGATCAAACTTGGATTGGCTACATGCCAGACAAGTATTTCAACCCCAGTACTATCTTTCCAGTCTTTCAACATGACATTTTAAGTATAGTTTTAAAACCACCTTACAAATTTGTGCCCCAATTTCTTCTATCAGATATAGATAGATAGATAGATAGATAGATAGATAGATAGATAGCATATATCCTTTTCTTCTTTACAACAAGGTACTTTGCACATTAGTAGTTTATTGCTGAAACTTCCAGGTTAACAAAGTATTTTCTGGGGCTTCCTGGTCTGAAACTCTGTAGTTTCTAACCAATGAGAAAGATACCTCTAAAATTCGCTCATCATCTATTTCATTGAAGACTGTGCCATTGATCTGATTTGGCTTCAAAGCAACCCAGTTGAAAACTGGCATTCGGAACTTCGTCTTGATTGGCTTCTTAATTTTCACGGCTGCAGACGTGAGAGAGAAGGAGATTAAGATCATATGATGACCTCATGACCCTCAAAAACAATCAACAATAGTTCTTGCAGATGACACTTTAACACTGGAGGAAGACTGGCAGGAAGTGCTCTCTTGGGCCAGAGCAATCTGAAGTTACTAGGCTGATGGATGTAACACTATGTCAAAATTGTCTAATGGCCAAGATTTGATTTCTTTTTTTTGGATTTCTATATTACAATTGCAATTTTATTATTTTACTTTTATTCTTTGTCTCTTGGGGCAACATCCAGTGGTGCCCAGGAGTTTACTCCTTGCTCTGCACTCAGGAATTTAATCCTGATGGTACTCGAGGGACCATATCAAATGGAACCCCAGTTGGCCTCATGCATAGGAAGTGGCCTACTCCCTATACTATCACTGGCCCTACAATTGCAGTTTTAGAACAAAGCTCAGAGCAAATAAAGCACTGGGGAACAAAACACAGTTTTTAGTTTTAGATAGAGAGGATGATTACTCTATCTGGATTAGTTTGCCACTGCTGATATGAGCTAAAATTAGACATTCTAAGTCTTGGTTTAAAATAAGTCTTAAAAGACCATCAGAGACTGCAAAAGGAATGGATGCTTAAACCAGCAGGAATGGAATATCAAGAAGTCTGGCACTCAGCCAACACAATCCCTCCCTGAGGGTGACGGAGATCATGTGGATTTATTGGCTATGGAGCTCTGTGATCAGGTTCCGGTCCAGAACAGAAAACATTTCAGATGACAAAGGGGCAGTGAAAAATATCAGGAAATTGCACTGCTTTCCAGAATCACTACAGTGCTTTCTAAGGAGGGATGTGTGTGTGTGTGTGTGTGTGTGTGTGTGTGTGTGTGTGAGGGGGGGAGGGGGGGGGCTAAGGGGAGTGATCGTGAAGCGGGGGTATTGTGGGAAGGGAGGAGGGAGATGGTGCTTTATTTTGAGCCACACTTGGTGGTGGTTCAAAGGCTTAGTGGTTATTCCTCATGGTGCTCAGGGGATCAAACGGTGCTGGGGATTCGAATCCAGAGCCCCTGCATGTAAAGCCTGAGCTCCAGTCCTTTATGTCCCACAGTTCCTCGCCTACATGTAAAAGCAATCAGCTCTGTGTGACTGAAGGGCATCAAGGTGCCCACTGAAACACTAAAAAGCTCTTCTGCAGGAAATGTCAACTCATCTTACTTTGGTGAAATGAGCTAAGGAAGAACGGCGATTCGTTAAAACTGCATTAATAAATTACACATCATAAAGTAGAGTTCTCAAATCACTAAGCTCTGTAGATTCATCTCCTGCAGTCTGTCCTTGGACGACTTAGGCTACTTGGGTGCTTGGCTCTTTGTCATCATTAACAGGAGTGGGGGGGAAACAAAATAAATGCAATGCCAGAAATTGAGTTTTCATCAGGCTGCGTCAGAGGGGGGAGGGGCGGGGGGTCATGGAAAAGGGAAGACGGGGGTGCCTTGTTCCTCCAGAGTTACGAAGGCCATGTAAACAACGGGGACAGCAGGTGACAGTTCCACACACAGCATGCAGGAACACAGACACACAGCCTTTGCCAACCCAGGCCTTTCTGTCACCAAATGTGACCCTTCAGTCCCCACTACCCAACAGTGTGGGGCTCCTTACCACCCTTCATTTTGCCCGGGGTAAAAAATCCATGCCTCCTACCTAAGAGGCAAAGGAACAGACCTTCTTCCCCTGCGGGGAACTTGCGCAATGCTGGGGGAAACGTGGAGGGCTGTGAGCAGATCTTCCCTGATCTAAGGGGACCGTCAAGGCTCCCGGGCCGGTCTTCCTTCTCATAATTCAGCAGGTCCCAGAGCATTCACTCAGCCTCACTCCCTTGGCAGCTGTCTGGGGCTTTCTTGTTTCTTTGTTTGGGGCCATGGAAGCTGCCTGACTTTTTTACTTTGTTGGGGGGCCCTTAGCAGTGCTCAGGGCTTACTCCTGGTATGCACTCAGGGATCACTCCTCAGGGGGCTATATATGGGGTGCTAGAACTGGAATCCTGTTGGTCTTGTACAAGGCAAGCACCCTCCCTCCCTGCTGTACCATCTCCCGTCCCCCAGCTGTCTGACTTTTAACTCTAGCAAGTTCCAGAATAAGCCTGCGATCAGAATACAGACAAGAAAGTTCTCTTCAGACAGTCTCCTGACGCCAAATGGGGAACAGCGATGGGAATGGAGCAGGAGCAGAGAAACCATGTTTGCGCAGGTTAAGGAACATGGCTCTGTGGGATTCACAAAGTTAGGGCGCGGGAGACCAGAGGCCAGTGGAAGGGAACTGGGGAAGCCCACGCAGCATTCACTGGGGCAGTTCCCCTCCTCCCTTCAGACTCATAAAGCTAGATTTCTTCTAGCACTGAGGTTCTAGAGCCACAGTGAACATTAAACTAAAGGGAAAAACTTCTTTTCTCAGGGTAGGGCATGTGGGAGTGAGAAAGATCACATGATGACTCCAGGGTGTCGACTTAAAGGTTCAAAATCTCTCCCCAAGGTTCATGTCGAGTGTGGGCAAACCTAGATAAGTTCACCAACCCCGAGACTTTCTACAGACATAACATCCCCGTGCAGTGGATGAATGAGAGAGAAGGGGTGATGTCAGGGCACAATGGATCAACAGAACACAAGGCAAGGACACAACACACTTCGAGAGAAGAGACCTACAGAAAAGCTTGATTGGCCCATCTTTCGTGGAAGCGGAAAGAACAAGTACAAAAAAAAAATTAGATACAGTTAGAATGAAACAGCGCAGCACAGAATTTCATGCTTCCTGGACATGTTTCACAAGGCAGCAGAGACAAGAAATTCATTTCCATTCAGGCCTGCCTGCCTGAAAGACTCACTTATTCATTCACCTAAAAGAAGAAAAAAAATCCTTTCTAGAAAAAGGAAAGGAAAAATAATTTTATTAGCAAGCGCTTGAATAGTCATCTTCGACTGTGCTAGCTACTTTGTAAGACAGACACAAATTTTAATAATAATAATTAAAAAATTCATCAATTAGCCAAAGCCCAAATGTCCATGGTGACATTCCCAAGTCCACTCTCCCAAAGAGGGAGCAAAGGAGGTAGACTGCTCAGCCTATAACTACCCAAGTCAGGAGAAATCGCCAAATGTATCTGTCACAGATTTGATAAAGGAAGTTTCATCTCAAAGACACCTTTCCCACTGCTCCTCTATAGAATGCAAAGGAAAGTCACGGTATGCAGAGGGGCCACCTCCTGCTTCTTCCCAGTCTGGCCGCCAGTGCACATCCGCTCACTCCACACTGAAAAAGTAAGACATCCCGTTCGTTGTCCAGAGCCCCTGGGCCCAGTGATGTCATGGGATCCTGATTTCTGGGGAAGCTAGACCAGTTCAGCTACGGCGTTTGTATCTACTGGGCCTGATTCAGTCTGGCCTCTTAGTTCCAGAAAGAACAAGATAGCTGTGAAACACACTGGCAAAACTGCTCACAAAATTGGGTTTTAACCACTAACAACCAAATGAAGGATGAGTAACAGCAAAAGATGAAAGGCCTTGCAGAAACTGCCCCGTTCTCAAGCTGTCAGAGACTCACAAGGATCTTGCAATCCTTACATGTTGCCAAACAGAGTCTCTTGGAATTGTTTAATGGACACTGATGGCACCCAAGGCGGGGGGGGGGGGGGATGGATTTCTTTAATCCCACATATAGTCCTCTAACTGGCCAGAGACACAGGCGACAGCTCCCGAACCGAGCCGACTGTAGCATCCCTGGCGACTGTAGCATCCCTGGTGGCTGCCATGGGTAATGGGCTGAATACAGAGCTTCACACTCAAAAACTGAGGCAATCAACAGAGAGAACACAATTATTTCTCCTCTTTAAATAGTGGGAAGAACCAAGTTCATTAAAAAAAAAAAAAAGAAAGAAAAACCAGGCCTACTCAACAGGGAGTCAGGACCAGCAGCATTGCCTCTGGCTCTTCCATTCACTCAGGGAAATTCTGAGTTCCACAGCAGCGCCCAGGGGCAGGGAATCAGGTTGTATCACTCGCTCAGGTGTGGCAGAGAGAAGGGAACCAGGACCCCAAATGATATGCAAACACACACAGCAGACGCAGCTCTTGGTGGCATTCTCAGGGGGCCACAAGCACAGGCTCCTTAGGGAGCCTTGGCTGTGACAATGCTGGGCTGTCACAGCTATTGTGGGCTGCCTGCCTGTGGCACGGATCCTAGGGCCTGACAAAGGGGCTCCTGTGTCCTCCCACTGCCCATTCCATGAAGCCACTCCTTCTGCTTTGGTCACTCAGAAGCAAAAAGTTCTAGAAGAAAGGCAGAAGGGCCAGAGCCATAGAAGAGTGCGTAGGGCATTTGCCTTGCATGTGGCCGACCTGCGTTCAATTCCCAGCATCCCATATGGTCCCCTGAGCACTGCCAGAAATAATTCCTGAGTGCAGAGCCAAGAGTAACCCCTCAGCAGTGACGGGTGTGAGCCAAAAAGAAGAAAAGAAAAAGGGAAAATGAGTCCTAAGGAGGGAGAAATAAGTGGCCCATTTTACTGGGAACATTCCTTTCAACAGGCACTCATTGGGTTTTCTGACAGCTGGAGTGGAGAAAAAAAATCAAGGATTTCATGTGAGCGACACCTGCCACAAGCGGCTTTCTGGGTCCAGAAGAACCTCGGTCACTAGGAATGAGCCTGCCAGGCTCAGGAAGCTGGTGAAGGGAAATCCTTTACAGCTAAGACAGCCGAGACTGGTCTTTCCAACTGCGGGCAAAAGGCTCTGAGAGCTACTGGCTGTGGATACTCTCCAAGTGGCAGCTCTTCCCTGAAATAAGAGACTCATGGGGCTGAAGTGGATGAGGACGCCGAATGATCTGAAGTCACAGGAACGGCACCAGCCACGCTCAGAGCAAGTCCAAGTGCCAAGGGAAACCCTCCATGACTCAGAAAACAGTTTGCACTAAAAAGTCATTTCCATGACTGGAGAGTAAAAATATAGCTTTCAGGGCCTTTTTCCCGGCTACTCCCCCCGGGCCGCACCCCTAGCCCCTGCCTGCCAGATTTACAGCAAGGAGGTGCTGAGCTCCATCCTGCACACTCCAGGAGCAGGACGAGCTGCACTCTCAGGGCACTTCAAAGCAGGGAGACACTGCTGCAGGCAACATTTCCCTCCTGGAGGAAATTCCACTCAGTGAAGGTCAGGTTTGCCAGGGCTGAGAAGACCTATCTGGAAGCTTCTATCAGATAGTTAACAGAGAAAGGCACAATAACTGCATGAGCAGTCACTGCAAAATAAATAAATAAAAACTTCAAGCAAAAAAAAAAGCAATTATAAAGAGCCAGAAGCACTCTGTTTGGACTACTGTGCTTTCAGTGTAAGAGTTGTCTGGTCAGTGACCCTGGTCAGTGTCCAGAAGTCTGCACTGATCCCAGGAAGTGCATGAATTCCTCAGAAGGCAAGCTGTCTCTCTGCTCTCTAGGTGGGCAGAGTGCAAGGTGGAAAGATGGGATGAGAGCAGAACTTCCCGCGAAGGACAGAGGACACAGGCTCCTCAGGGTAAAACAAAATGCCCTCCTGTGCAGGACTTTCCTTCTATTTTGTTTATTTGGGATTTGGCGCCACGGGCAGTGGTGCTCCGGGCTGACACCCGGCTCTTCGCTCAGGATCACTCCTGACAGTGCTGGGTGGAGCATGTGCGGTACCGGGGGAATCGAATCCACGTTGGATGCATGCAAGACAAGCAAATGCTGCCCACTTAGGCTATGGCCCCAGCCCTCCTTTCATTTCAGCAGAAACGTTCCTTATTTTCAGAGGAGGTGCCTACAATTCCAGGAGACCCAGTCTTGGAAAGAACGGCTTCAACCCTCTGGCAAGAAGACAAGCGAGTGGTTCTTACGCAAGGACCTGGGTTTTAACGCTGCGCTCTTACCTGCTAATCCTGAGTTGAAAACCACTGTGGGCGAGGACGTTCCAGGCAGCGGGGGTGCAGAGGGAGGAGGCGGGGGCGGTAAGGGAGGGGCCGGCACAGTCTCTGCTGCAGGGCCGGGGAGGGGTGGAGGGGGCGGTGGGGGTGGCGGAGGAGGTGGAGGTGGGGGCGGCGGGGGCATAGGTGGTGTTACAGGGCCATTTTGCACTAGAAAGAGAAGAGAAACAGGTTGACTTAGATCGACTTTGAAGCACCAGAAATGCTGTTTCCCCCCAACCCCCCCACCCCCCCGCAATATTGCAAGGGCATAGAAGTTATCCAAAAGAGGGAAAAATGTAAAACAGACAAAGGGTCTTTGGGGTTGGAGCAATAGCACAGCGTGTAGGGCGTTCCCAGCATCCCATTATGGTCCCTTGAGCACCGCCAGAGGTAATTCCTGAGTGCAGAACCAGGAGTAACCCCTGTGCATCGACAGGTATGACCCAAAAAGGGGGAAAAAAAAAACCCGGAAGGGTCTTTTTTATAATTAATTATTTATTTCATTTATTTTTTTTTTTTTGCTTTTTCGGTAACACGCGGCTATGCACAGGGGTCACTCCTGGCTCTGCACTCAGGAATTACTCCTGGCGGTGCTCAGGGGACCAGATGGGATGCTGGGAATCGAACCCAGGTCAGCCGCGTGCAGGGCAAACACCTTACCTGCTGTGCTAGCACTCCAGCCCCCAAAGGGTCTTTTTTTCACGGACAGTAAGCTTTCCTCATTGACAAAATAAAAGATATACTACAACATACTGAAACGAAGATTTGTAAACTCAAAATGAGTCTCCAGCCAAGGCGTCTTACCTGCTTCGGGTGTGTCTGGCGAGAGAGGTAGTGGTGGGGGAGGTGGAGGTAAGGGTCCCGAGGAGGCAGCCCCTGTCACGGGTCCCACGAAGTTCGCAGCCGCCCCCTCTGACCCTGTGGACAGCGCACCAGGGGTCACCACTGGCAGGATGGCGATGTCCCCGTCCCCTTTCTTCTGAATCTTAATGGTCCCTTGTTTCTCCAGTTCGTGAATCTTTTTCTCCAAAGTAGACTGTCTCTGAATGGCTTCTTCTTTTTCTTTGACCATCTTCCTTAATGTGTGAACCTGGGTGTTTGCATCTTTGTAGATTTCCTGCAAGAGTCCATCAGTCATGTTTGGGTTTTTTTTTTTTTTTTTGCTTTTTGGGTAACACGCAGCTATGCACAGGGGTCACTCCTGGCTTTGCACTCAGGAATTACTCCTGGAGGTGCTCAGGGGACCAGATGGGACGCTGGGAATCGAACCCACGCCCATGATGCTCAGGGGTGATCCCAAGCTGTGTGCCCAGGAGTGATCCTTGGTGGTGTTTGAGGGGCCATATGTGGTGACAAGGATCAAACCTTGCAAACAGCCACACGAAAAGCAAGCGCCTTACCTCCAGGCTAAGCAGTCATTTATCTATCACCATAAAACTACATATTGAAGAGAAAGAAAATAGCCCCCCCCCAACACACACACTCAAGCAGAAATAGGAATACTAATAGCACTGTAGCACTGTCCTCCTGTTCATTGTCCACTGTTCATCGATTTGCTCGAGCGGGCACCAGTAACGTCTCCATTGTGAGACTTGTTGCTACTGTTTTTGGCATATCAAATATGCCACAGGGAGCTTGCCATGCGGATGGGATACTTTCAGTAGCTTGCTGGGCTCTCTGAGAGGAACGAAGGAATTGAACCCGGGTCAACCCCGCCCAAGGCAAACACCCTACCCGTTATGCTATCGCTCTGCTCAAGAATACTAATATAAATTGGAATTCCAAGGAATGCAGCCAGAGCCTTAAAGACCCATTTAATGATCAATTTTCATTGATAACGCATGCAATAAATACATTCTGGTAATTGTTCCTGTTAAAGTACTTCTTTCCATTAATAAATGGAGTTGGGGGGAGCTGGAGCAATAGCAAAGCGGGTAGGGCATTTGCCTTGCATGCAGCCAACCCGGGTTTGATTCCCAGCATCCCATCTGGTCCCCTGAGCACCACCAGGAGTAATTCCTGAGTGCAGAGCCAGAAGTAACCCCTGTGCATCGCCAAACATGACCCCAAAAACAAAAAACAAAACAAAACAAAAAATAATAATAATAAGGATAATAATAATAATAAAATAAATGGAGTTTGGGATTGGAACGATACTACAGTGGATAAGGTGTTTGCCGGGCATGTGGCCAACCAGGGTTCCATCCCCAGCATCCCATATGGTCTCCTGAGCACCACCAGGAGTAGTTTCTGAATGCAGAGCACAACCAGGAGTACATCCCTGAACAATGCTAGGTGTGGCCCCCAAACCAATAAATAAATAAATAAATGGAGTTAGCTCCATTTTTCTTTGCTGGTAGAGCACAGGAATGACCCAAAATACATTTGCCGCTGACTTTGCATTATCAAGGTGCCTTCTAGTGGAGCAGTGTTTTCCTCTCAGACTCTGAAATGCATTTGTAACTCCTAGATACATATCAGCTCACAGTAAGCAACCAAGCCCTAAACCAGACTTGGCGAGAAGTCAGACTGGGATTAAAAATCTGCAAAGCAGGGAATAATGCACTCATGAATAACCAGGGGCTGATGTTGTTTAATAGATTACTAAGGCCTTACCAGGGCCCCCTTGACCAAGCTGAGGACTGTAATTGTAACACTGTCCCCCTGGTAATGCTCTTAACAAAATAGGCTAAGGCTTCCTTCCACTAATTACTAATTTCTATCTAGGTTCTTAGCAGGAAACAAAGGAGCTACAATTTTCAATGCAAAGGCTATCCTGGCTCCTTTTGTAAAGGGCCCACAGAGTTCCAATGGACGGATTTTATGGATCTTACTTGCTGGGTCTTATACACGTAACCTCTGACCAGAAACCTCCAGCAAATAGACACATTCTTCACACCATGTCCATTATTAATAATATGAAAGTCTGCACTTGAATTGACTCCATATGCTACAGTTATGATTCAACGGTGTGCCAGAAAATTAATTTCCTAGAGTTAACTACAGGAGGACCCGTCAAAATATCAAGCAACACAGTCATGATAACCATCACATAAAATGTGTCATTTCATTAACGGCAGTGTACAGGCAAGACATTTGGCTGGAAGCCCTCCAGGCTTTTCAGTGTTTTTATGTTCAGTGCGATTGCAAACCCATGGATGGCACTCCATAAATGCCTGATATGCAAGGTAAAACAATGACCCGGCCAAATAAAATAGTTGAGATTATCTGATAGTAAAATAGATTGGTTTTGCTTTGCCGTTCTCGTTCCTTTTTCATTTTGTTGAATGCCGTGAAGTCTTGCCTGTGTTGTGATTTCAGCGTTTCCACGACAACCATCAAATCAGGGCTGAAGCAGAAGCAAAGCAAAGAAATACAAAGAAGCCCACGGCCTTATAAAAATAAATAAGTGGCATACATTCACGGTGATTTTATTTCCAACAAAACAGGTGACCCGCAGAATCAACTCAAATTCACCCAGAAGAGAAAATCGTGTTGCTCCCCAAAGCCTGTGATAAGGAGATCATGAACCCCCTGTGTGTTCTGCATAGGTGTGTATGGACCTGCTTTACCTAGATCACCTTTGCAACGTCATGCATGAGCAGGCATGAACATCTGACAGGCATGGATGTACTCCATGCTGTCCCACACTCAAGCTGGACCACAGCCCTTGCCACCTGCAGTTGTCATCATCACACTTACTCGAACAACATCCAACTCCTTGTTCCTCTGCATGAGCTGTTTCTCCAGTTCCACGATCTTGGACATAGCTTCATTCTCTGTGTCTTGCAGCTTTTCTGACAACTGTTAAGATTTGAAAAGGGAAATGGTTTCACGAAGCAGGATACTCTGAACAGGTTCTTCATTCTCCAAAAATGCTCTCCAAGAAGGCTGGATTGATAATAGTGAGTAGGGTTGCCTTGCATGTGGCCAGCCAGAGTTCAATCCCTGACATCCCATATGCTCCCACCACCCCCAGCACTGTCAGGGGTAATTTCTAAGTGCAGAGCAAGGAGGAACCCTGAGTATCACCAGGTGTGGCTCTAAAACCCAAAAACACCTGTATTCTCGGCTGTTTTCTGGAAATGGTAGTATTTCTACCTTTTGTTTGTTTGGGGGCCATGCCCAGAGGTGCTCAGAATTTACTCCCAGCTCTGTGCTCAGGGATCATTCTGGCAATGCACAGGGAACCATATGGGGTCCCAGGGATAAAACCTGAGCTAGCCACATGCAAGGCAAACACCCTATAGCTCTACTATGACTCTGGCCTCATATTTCTAAAATGGATCTGCATGAAAGCTTCCAGCCAGAATGGATACTGTGGTCTTTCATACAACCCAGATACTAGCTGCCTAGTGTTCTGACAGCACAGTTTCTCCTTTTCTGAGGGAACTAGAAGGCAGAGAACAGAGGATGACAGGGAAGGGAGTCTACCATTCACTCCCTCAAGAAGGGCCAGAGAAAGTATACTGTATAGATAGTATAGATAGTTAAGGAAAGGTTCATGCCTTGCATGCAACTGACATGAAACTACCCGTAGCACGACATGATCTCCTGAGCATTGCCGGTATAGACTGCTCCCTGCCACGCCACCCCTTCCTCATCTTTGCTGTCTTGAACCAGATAATCTCCAGCACTGGGGACACCAAGCAGCACCCTATTCTCAGGCCCTGGCATTGAATTACCCAACTGAAAAAGAGATTTTAAAAAAAAAAAAGGAAAGAGTTGGGGGTTGGAGCGATAGTATAGTGGATAGGCCATTTGCCTTGCACGCAGCCAACCTGGGTTCAATCCCTGGCATCCCATATGGCTCCCTTAGCACCAGCAGGAATAATTCCTGACTGCAGAGCCAAGACTAACATCTGTGCATCGCAAATGGGATGCCAGGGATCAAACTCAGACAGGCCACATGCAAGGCAATCACCCTACTCACTGTGCTATCAATCCAGCCTTCTTGGAGAGCATTTTTGGAGAACGAAGAACCTGTTCTGAACCTTTTGGGGTCACTGTCACTGTCACTGTCCTCCCGTTGTTCATCAGTTTGCTCGAGTGGGCCCAGTAACATCTCCATTGTGACAATTGTTACTGTGTTTGGCATATTGAATACGTCACGGGTAGCTTGCCAGGCTTTGCCGGGCAGGCGGAATACTCTCAGTAGCTTGCCGGGCGGAGGAATCGAACTCGGGTCAGCCGCTTGCAAGGCAAACGCCCTACCCGCTGTGCTATTGCTCCAGCCCAACCTTTTGGGGTATGACCCCGAAAACCAAAACATAAGAAAGAAAGAAAGAAAGAAAGAAAGAAAGAAAGAAAGAAAGAAAGAAAGAAAGGGTTGTTAGGCAAAAGATTTGGACTGACCCAGAACACTTGGCTCTCTGACTCTACTGCTGCATTAACACTACTTGTTCTTTTGACCTGACCTAATGAGGTAATGAATTGTTGGGGGGCTGGGAAGGGGGTGCACAGTAAAAATAAATTAGCAACCCGCTGTAAGACTGATTAGAGATTCTTCGTGAAATAACAAAATAAAAAGATAGGTTACATGTCAGCTGTATCATGCAAACTGGAGAGCTTCCTGTCCAGGTTTTATAGTGCTCTGCTTTAGGACTTATTTTAGCTTCTTTTTTGGTTTGTTGGTTTCTTTGGGGATCACACCCGAGGATGCTCAGGGTTTACTCCCAGTTTTGTGCTCAAGGATCACTGCTGGGGTTTGGAGGACTATATGGGGTACAGGGGATCAAAAGTCGGTTAGCTGCGTGTACAGCAAGCACCATACCTGCTGTACTATCTCTCTGCCCCCCCTTTTCTGTTGTTTGTTTTTTACTATTTTAGCTTCTTATCGAGTCATCATGTGAACTGATGAAAAAGATAATTGCAAATTTGGGGACTGGAAGGAACAACCCTTAAGAGCTTTGACTTAAAGATGCAGGAACCTAGTAGTAGAGCTGGATTTAATATTGATCACCATTCCTCTAGGGAGCAACTTACGATGTAAAATATTGGTACATACATAATCTGCAGACAATAGCGAATAAATTGACTGGATAATATAGTTTCTTTTTTTCTCTTTCTTGTAAACTGAACTTTACATGAGGGTAATGAAGAGAAGTACATCTGAACATCAAACATTTGCAAAAGAAAAAGAAAAAGAGTGACTATACATAAGCAAAGTCATGCAAAGTTGGCTGACTTCAAGAGAAAGACAAGGTGAGCCATGCGTTTTCTCCCACAATACCCTAAACAGAGTAACTCTGAATCCTTACACAGCTCTGAGAATGATCACAAGTACAGAAAATTAGACAAGATGAGTAGGAAGAGGAGAGATTTACACTGATTAGGTACAGAATTTACATTTATCTTCCTTTTGGAGAGGGCAGGTGTGGACTCAGGCCTCAAATAAGGAAGGCATATACTCGACTGCTTAATCACATTCCCAGACACAAGGCTCAGAATTGAAAATGAATCTCTGAAGGGAAGAAATACTTGACTTGCTCATGTTCTTCCTAAGCAGGAGCCAACTCAGCCCCAGTAGCATCTAAAATGGAAGGGGTTTGGCTTTCCAATTAGGTCGAGCCATGAATCATGTGATGCCCTCTTGCAATGGAAAGAAGGTCCATTTCCTAAATCAAGACACTCCGGAGAAACACTCAAAGGGAAAAATAATACTCCAAAAAGAAAAGACTCATTTCACAGCCAAGGATTCTGTCAATCAGAATCCATCATATGAATTTGGTTTGGGTGTTTTTTTGTTTTGGGTTTGTGTGTTGTGTGTGTGTGCGTGTGTTAGAGAGAGAGAGAGAGAGAGAGAGAGAGAGAGAGAGAGAGAGGGAGAGAGAGAGAGAGAGAGAGAGAGAGAGAGAGAGAGAGAGAAGAAGACAGGGTAGCTGAAATAGTGAATAGATCCCAAATGATTTTTAGGGGGGTGCTCTAAAAATGAGGAGTCTCTCCTGATACTATTTGGTCAATAGAGCTGGTAGTTCACTATGAGGGTCTACAGATGCAGTGCTACTTGTCCCCTGCAGTGCTTGGGATCACCAGAGTCACCTCAGCACTACTCAGGGCCTCCAGGCCATATGGTGATACTCAAGGTACCATGTGGAGTTGGGTACTGAAGCAGGTTGCATCTTAAGCCCTTACTATCATCCCCAGGCCAAGCACTGGGGAATTTAAAAAGTACCACTTTCTATTTGTCCGTGCAATATTCAAGTATCTGTTCAATGATGAACAATGAATGGCCTCTGAAAGCCTCATATTCAAGATGGTCTATGGAACAACAACAAAAAAATCCCTTCAACGAGAAACAAGCCTCTCTCTGTCTACGGAGAGGACACTAATCTTGAAAGGGGGAAGATGGGGATATGAATGGATTTTCTGGAAGATGTCTACCACTGAAATAAATCTTGAGAACTAGAAGAATGAAATTCTTCCAATGAAATTTATACCATTGAAATAAATCTTGAGAAATAGAAGATATGAGGCCATTCGATGTGTGGGCTCATATGAACTCATCTGAGAGATGACTCTAATTCAGAAGAGTCTGAATTTCGGTCAAATCCAACTATCAAGATTGCACTTCCTTCAACCAGCAATGCCAATCATCTCATTCTCCTGGCCTATAACTAAATGCCAGGCAAATGAGAACTTAGCAGAACGAGCACAAAAAGCACAGAAATGAAAATTAATCTCTGAAGGGAAGAAAGACTTCGTTTGCACATTTCTTCCTAAACTGGTGCCAACTTAGCCCCTATCACACCAAAAAGGGAAGGCTTTCCAACTGAGTTGAGCCAGGAATCAAGATGATGCCCTTGCAAAGGGAAGAAGGTCAATTTCCTAAATCAAGATGCTGCAGAGAGGGGCTAGAGTGAGAGCACAGCGGGGAGGGAGTTTGCCTTGCACGCGGCAAACCGGGGTTTGATTCTCAGCACCCCATATGGTCCCCAAAGCACTGCCAGGAGTAATTCCTGAATGCAGAGCCAAGAGTAACCCCTGTGCATCACCAGGTGTGACCCAAAATGGAAAAAAAAAAGATGCTGTGGAGAAATAGACAACAGAGTTCTGCTCTTTCTTTTTTCCTTTGTAGTCATGGAATGAACCTGTCTCATGTATGCAAAAAAGTATGAACTACGTCCCTAGCACCCAGATCTCACTTTTCCAAAAGGTCGGTTGGGGGGGAGGACAGGGCACACTCACAAAGAGCCAGGAATCAAAGTTGGACTTCTCAGATGCAAAGCATGCTTTTGGCCATTGAGCTCTGAGTTAGCTTCTTAAAGTCATATACGTTCCTTCTCTGAAAGAACCCCAAATAGCACTAAGAGTTCTGTGTTAATGTGCAGCTCACTTCTCCACCCAAAACCCTTTCATGTGCTACCAGGAAAGCTAACGAGTCTTCCACTTTACATCCTATTGAAACTTAGCCCATCGTTTTCTGAGATGTAGTTACATGAGAAATGTTTTCTTCCAGTTCTTCCACCCTCTCCAAGGCTGCATTCTTGGTCTCAGCATCCTCCAGCAGAGCTCCCACATCAAACACGTTGTCCAGGTAAGCCTGAATCTGTACCTGCAGCTTGTCACTCTCTGTGTGTTTCAGCTTCTAAAAAGAATCAAAATGCAAGAGCAAATGGTGTTAATGTCTTGGTGGAAACAAAGCATATTATGCAAGAGTTCACATGTTTTTGTTTGTTACAGTCTTTTTCCAGATGCCTTGCATGTGGCCAACCTAGGTTCAATCCCCAGGACCACATATTGTCTCCTGAGCCTGCCAGAAGTGATCCTTGAGTGCTGATCTAGGAATGAGCCCAGTAAGCAGGCAGTAGCCTCCCACAGTATTGCACAGGGGTTACTCCTGGCTCTGCACTCAGGAGTCATTCCTAGTGGTGCATGGGCGACCATATGGGATGCAGGGAATCGAACCCGGATTGGCCGTGTGCAAGGCAAATGCCCTAACTGCTGTGTTATTGCTCCAGCCCCCCCTCCAATTTTTTTTAATTTAAAAGAGAATTATGAAATGCCTAAGTGGATACCTCATTAGTTTCTGATTAATACACTCTCCCCAACATAAACACATTTCCTGTCTATTAGTTGCCATTAATAGATTCTTCAGGTAAACATACTCCCACCTGATACAGATGACACCAGCACATGGCTATCATCAAACTTGAGGGGAGTCCATATGAAAGAGCTTGTAGGTAAGATCTTGGCTGGATGGTGATAGGATTTCAGTTGAGAGGGTTGGGCAGACACTAAAGTGTTCTGGAGCTTAGTTTAATACAAATTGCTAGAATTCATCCTCAAGATTACTTCCGAAAGACAAAGACACTATTTCTACATGAAGCATATAGGGCTAAAAATACATACAATGGGACACTTTTCTCAGTTACCTCTTAGGGTCAGGCACTCTGAAGGAAGTCAGTTAGCTCTTCGATGAAATTAGAGGGTAAATCAGTGATTCTTCCTTACTAGTGATCTAAGTTTCAACTGTCTCTAGAGATTGCATCAGTGGCAGTAATATTATCTGTTACACATAAACAATGTCAACAAACACTATTGATTAATAAAACCAATCAATAGAAACCTGAGACTAGAGTTTTGCAATTTAATAAAGCATTTCTTTATTATATTATTGTAACATTACTCTTCTATCCATCTCTGTCTATCGAGGTCTGAAACCAGGAGGCCAAAAAGTTAAGAGAACTATGGAGTTTTGAAAATATCTTATTTTTTTTCCTAAACGTCAAGATTGAGTTCACAACTCATATAAGTGAAATAAGTTCTCTACCATTAACTTACACATCCCAGCTCATGTTTTACTAAATTTTTAAGAGAAATTCTACTTCATATAAATTCTAAAGAAAATCAATTTTCTCCTAGGTCTAATCAGGGATTTGACAGCTTGGAACATAGGGCTTGCTACAGGAACAAGCTATCTTAATAGAGGAGTCAGGACTGAAAAAGATATTTGAATAAAGGGAAAGACTTGGGATGGTGGAAGACAAGAAAACAGCAAGGTGGGTTGTCATGGACAGACAGGGTTCCGCCTGCCAATGCAGCCTGTTCCTGAATTCCTGGAGTGGCTCTCCATTGCTTCCCACAACTGCCCCTGGGAGTCTCTTGCTATCATTTTTTGTGGAGCGGGTGGAGGAATGGGGGATTGGATTTTGAGTCATACCTCCTGGTTCCCAAGTCTTACTCCTGACTCAGCGCTCAGGGATCACCCTTGACTGTACTTGAGGAAGTGTATGTGGTGCCAGAGATCAAACTGGAACTGGCTACATGCAAGGCAAGTGCCTTAACCACTCTACTATATATCAAGCCCTATCTATCAGTTATCTAACACACTTAATTCTTGTTCAAATATTGCTATCCTTAGACCCTATGGGGAACGAGGAGAAACAAACTTGATCTTAACAAATAAAACCTTCCAGGAGGAAAAGTCTGCCCAAGATGTGAGTGGTTCTGTCCAAGTTCTGTCCAACAGTGTCCAAGAACAATTTAAATAAGTAAACAGTCCAGACAAACTTTTTTGTGGAATACCATCAGGCGTCTACCAGTACAGTCTTTATACCACTGAATGGTAGCCACTCCCTGATTCAGGCACACCATGGATTACATGGCAGTGAGATTTTGTGTGGACTGGCAGGAAATTTTGGCACACCAGGAGTTGAAAACCACTGCCTTGGACAACATTAAGCCTATTCACTCAGGGGCAAGCTCTGATGGTTTGATAAGCAAGACCAAGAGCTCAAGAGTAATCCATCCCATAATTCTGCCATGCAGTCCACATGGTCTGGAGAGACAATACAGAGAAGTACTATCAGTACTGCAGTACACAGTTCCCTGGATTCACGCTCACTGATAATGGGAAGCTGAATTGTGGAGATGTCTAGAGGAAGTCCACGCTCTCTTCGTCATAGCTAGAAACAGCTGTGAAGTTGAGGTCAACAGTTTTTTGTCCTAGCACTAGAGGTCTCCTCCAGTAAGCGGGCCAACCATTCCTCTATGGTAGAGAAAAGAGAACTGCCTAGGAGACAAAGGTCAAGCTGTGAGTGTATACACTGCTCCTCCAGTCTGTTTACAATTTTCACATCAACTTCTGCTTCTTGGCTAAAAAGAACTTCAGGGAAGTAACTGAGCACTTCTGCCAGGGAGCCACAGAAAGAGAAACTTCAGACCTTCTTTCCTCCCAAGACCTAAAAGCGGAAGTTCTAAAGCCACAAACACTTTAAGAAGAATTTACAGCTCTGTGAGGAAGTCTCCAGCGTCCATTTCCTCATTAAATTTTCTTATACTCTGAGCATTTATTAATCAGCCTTGGTCTGACTGCTTCTGCCCAGATGGGGTCCCCAGAGTAAGCAAGAATGTGAGCTGCCCAATAGCCACAGATGAAGAGTGCAGTGAGATTTGATCCTGAGCAAGCGAGAAAGCAACAAGGCCACAGGAGGTTATCTGACTCTGGTACTAAAAGACTGCTGGCAAAAGACAGCAAGAGGTCCCAGGAGGCAGCGAGAAAGCAGCTGGCTGAATGTAGGGCAGACAGAGTTCTTTTCATTGGCATGGCAACTGCTGTGTACAGAGAACTTTGAGTGTTCTTTAGTCACTACAGAAGTGTCTCCTTGAAGGTCAGCAACAAGCCAAACACGGAGAAGTCAAAGGCTGCAGCCATACTTACATCCAAGTATTCATCCAAGCCCAACTTGGTAAACTCATACTGGAGGTGAACTCTGAAATTCATGTCCTCTACTGAATGGACCACAATGTTAATAAACTGCATGGATGCCACCTGAAATGAAAATATGGATGGGTTAGATGGACTCCACACTTGCTTTTCCAGTGTAATCATAGACATGTGCTTCCAGTTTTGCAAATCTAAATTCACCTGACCAGTTTTTCCCCCCTTTGTTTATTGTTTCATTGGATATTTAAAAATATTTTACAACTGTATTTTACATCCCTGTGCTCTATAACTTTACATTCTGAGTTATAGGGGCAAGTTGTGGGTGGGAGAGGCAACCTGGGAACACTGATGGAGGGAAGTTGCCGCTGGTGGTGGGATGTGTGATGGAATACTCTAGATCAAAAACCCGACTATGAATAACTTCGTAACTTATGGTGCTTTAATCAAATAAAATTTGGGGAAAAAACTGAAAATATTTTAATTTGGGGAGGCTGAAGAGTTAATACAGGGGACTATTCCCTCGCATCAGCTGATCCAGGTTTGATGCCCAGCACTGCATATGGTCCCCTGAGCACTGACTGCCAGAAAGTTCCCTGAACTTATAGCCAGGAGTAAGCTCTGAGTACTGCCAGGTATGGTCCCCAAATGAAACAAACCAACCAGAAAAAAGAACAAAAAAAGAAAGAACTTTAAAGCTTTTATCTATTTTGCCAGGGAGAGGGGGTGCTTAGAAACTGTTATTGACTCTGTGCTCAGGGAGCCATATGGACTGAACTGGAGTTGGCCACATGCAAGGGAAGTGCCTTAACCCTGGCACTATGTCTCTGGTCCTCTTTTATGTATTTTTTTTTATTTACAAGTCAGAGAGTACCACAGTGAGAGTCCAATTCACATCCACTAGGATGGTTCTATTAAAAAGAAAGAGAGTAATAAGTGTTGACAAAAATATGGAAACTATAGGAATGCTCATCCATCTGTATTGGAGAAATTAAATAGCACAGTTTCTGAAAGGCTGAATTTAGAGATAATATATGCCACACATAGATATATATCCAAGAGAAATGAAAATACACATCCCTATAAAACTTAACACACATTTTCATAGTAACATTATTCACAAGAACTAAAACATGAAGAAAAACAGTCTTCAACAGGGAGATAGTACAGGAGATAGTACAGTGTGCTGGGGACCTGCCTTGTATGAAGCCAACCTGGTGCCCTGATCCCCACCAGGAGTGATCTCTGAGCACAGAGCTAGGAGAAAGTCCTGAGCACTGCTAGGTGTGGTTCCAAGCTTGACACAATGGAGACATATGCAACAATTAAAAACTGAAGTCATGATACACACCACAGCATACATGAACTTGAAACATTATGCTAAATTCAAAAGGTCAGTCACAAATGACCACCAATAACAGCAATCATTTGAAATACTGAAAATGGATAAACAGAGACAGAAAGCTAGCAGTTTCCTGGGATTTGGGGATAGGAAAATATGGATACAGGGATTCTTTTGTGGGCCACAACATTTTCTTAATTATATGGTATTGATTGCTGCATAGCCCTGCAAATATATTAAAAATATGTCAAATTACAGACTTCAGATGAGCAATTTGCCAAGTTAATTTTATTTTACTAATGCTGTATCATTGGAAATTTTTGCCAGGAGGGGAGCAATCCCAGGTCGCATGCCTACAAGGCAGGCACTTTATGTTCAATCACATCCCTTGTCCGATTTTAAAAAACATACAGGTACACAGAATAAACTATGTAACTCATTTTAGAAAATAGGGAAAATATTTTAAATACCATCTTAAATTGCCTTTTAAGCACATGATGAGACACAATCGTTTCTAAAATTCTAGACTCCTATTTCCATTTTAAATTACTAATTAGTTTCCATTTCCCAAAAGCCATGGACTAACAGCTTTCTCCCCACAACTCCATGAGCAACCCTGAGACTCGCCACAGAGAAAACCAGTCCTTTTCGGTACGTCACAGAAAAATGTTCAACAGGTTTATGTCACTTTAACTCTGACGGTTTTATTGACTGTGAAAGTTCCTCAGGAATGCCTTCCCTCCCTGGTTAACCAGACGCTCTTGCATGGAGGTAGAAAGGCTGTAAGATCCAGATCCATTTAATCTGAGAACTGCCTTCTGCGTCCTTTTGCCTCAAACTCAATTTCCTTTACTACAGTCTCAACTGTTCTTCTTATTATTTGGGAGTGATGTGGGGGGGGCACATCAGTGCTCAGGGATCACTCCTGGAGGGCTCAGGGGACCATATGTGGTGCTGGGAACAGAAGCTGGGTCGGATGTGTGCAAGGTAAACACCCTACACATGTTGAACTATCACTCTGGCCCCCTCAACTTTTATTGCATTAGTCTCTTCTGAGTAAATATGATATATGGGGAATCCTTGAAAGATACATGCACTGTGTAGTAAGAGATCTGATTGGGACTTGAGTTCAACACTCTGTCAAAGTTATTTTAAATTAGTAAGAACAGATACTGGAGCAACAGCACAGCGGGTAGGGCATTTGCCTTGCACGCGGCTGATCCGGCAGACCCAGGTTTGATTCCTTCATCCCTCTCGGAGAGCCCAGCAAGCTACCGAAAATATCTCGCCTGCGCGGCAAAGCCTGGCAAGCTAGCTGTGACGTATTCGATATGCCAAACACAGTAACAACAAGTCTCACAATGGAGACATTACTGGGCCCACTTGAGCAAATTAATGAACAACGGGAGGAGAGGGACAGTGACAAGAACAGATACTACACTTGATCTTAGCCAAAAGGCCGAGAAACGATCTGACAAGTCGTTTCAGATTCATCGAATGAACGGAAAAATGATTTAGTCCATTGTTTCCTTGACCAAATGATACAGGAAATGCCTTATGTGAGTTTAAAAAAATTTACAGAATAGTACTTGCCTTACTTGCATGCACCTGGTCCAGATTCTATCACCAAAACCCCAAACGGTCTCCCAAGCACCACCAGGAGTGATCACAGAGTGCAGAGCCAGAACTATGTCCTGAGCACAGCTGAGAGTACCCCCAAACAAACCAACAAAAATGACTTTCTATCACAGTTCCCCTTTGCTAGGGACCCCACGTAAGACCTAGACAGATGCACTGGGGGCTTGTCATCATAGCCAGAGTGCATGCACGGGGGATTGAGCTCTGGACCAAACATGTACATACACTGGGTATTTCCCTAGCCACTAAATCATCTTCCAGGCTCTTTCTTTCAGGGAGTCCTAACACTGGAGCTGTTCTGATTATCTGGGCACATGCAGGCCCGTCCAGAGATTGAACTCTCAGCCTCCAACTTGTCATGGAAATGCTTAATGAGCCAAAGCCCAAGTCAATTTTTGGGAGGGGGGAGCTTTTTTGGGTCACACCCAGCGAGGCACAGGGGTTACTCCTGGCTCTGCACTCAGGAATTACTCCTGGTAGTGTTGGGGAACCATATGGGATGCTGGGAATCGGACCTGGGTTGGATGCATGCAAGACAAATGCCCTACCCGCTGTACTATCACTCCAGCCCCCAGGTCAACTTTTAAGCCACCAGTGAGGACCATGAATTTATATGCTCTTTTTGGGGGGATGTGCTGTTGGGAAGACTGCAACTAATATGCATTCCCACCTCAGAATGCAAAAAGCCTCATTTTCTGGAGAAACAATAAAACTCAGTTCTGGCATCTGTCCTAAAAATGGGCTTCAAAGTTCTGGTGCATTTTATCGTATAGCTAAGAGCCAATTACCTGCTTTGGATCATCAAAGGAATCCCACAGAACCTCAATAGCAGAAGTCACTAAATAATGGTGCTCAATGCATATACCTATGAACAGTATTTTTGTTTTGGGGGACAACACTCAACGGTACTCAGAGTTTCTTCCTGGCTCTGCACTCAGACATCACTTCTGGTAGTGCTCAGGGGGACCATATGGGATATCAGAGATCGAACCAGGGACAGCTGTGTGCAAGGCAGATGCCCTACCTGCTGTACTTTCTCTCCAGTTCCCAGTCTATGGACAGTCTGACTAGAAGTCTGACTGTCCTTTGAAAACTACGCAATAGCTTTAAGGATTCAATGTGACTGCAATTTCAGTGGAAACAAAAAGCAGGGGGGACTAGGGATAATACAATAGAGAAGAGAGTGGAGTGAAATCTTCAGATACAGAAACAGGGGTAGTGCCTCCAATAGCTGACACTCTGTAAGAACAGGAGCTTAGTGCTAACAGAGTTTGTTTTCAAAAAAGTCAGAACTCTATGCTTACAATTACCAAATTTTCTCTTTGTTTGTTCTTTCTCTTTTTAAGAATTCAGGTTTCCTCTTATTTTTTTAATGTATTTTTGTTTATTTAGGGGAGGGGGCAGGTGCCACACCTGGCAGTGCTCAGGGTTTTCTCTTGGCTGTGTACTCAGGGGCTCGTTTGTGGTGCCGGAAACCGAACCCTGGGCAGCTATGTTGAAGTCAGGTGTAAAAGGCAAGCTGGCTAGACCATCTCTCCAGCCCCCAAATTTTCTTTTTAGGAGGATACCACTGTCAGGCTCACAAGCCTGCAGGTTTACTGCAGCTGGGAGCCTCCAGCTTCCAGCTGCAACTAAAAGGAACAAATATTATTTCTCTCCTGAGTGCAAAAGCAACGCCCTGGCCATATGTGGCTATTAAACTGGTAAATGCATCTCTTCATGAATTTATCATCAGTGCCTTAAATCAAAGTAATAACTGAATTAAAATTTCAACATAATTACTTCTTTTCACTCCTTGCTCTGCAGTCTGGAATCACTTCTGGCAGTGCTCAGGGGACCATGTGGGATTCTGGGGATTGAACCTGGGATGGTACAAGAAGAGCATCCTACCTGCTGTTCTATCATTTTGACCCCTTATTTCAAAAATTTTAAACTTTTCTACTTTATTTTTTGGTTCTGATTATTTTTCCTCTTTTTTGCTTTTATCTTCTTATTTTCCATTGGTGGTGGGGAGGGATATGGAACACTCCAAGCAGTGCTCACGACATCCCAGAGATACCCACCCAGTGTTTTATGAAACAGAAAAACTTCTTTCTAAAGGATTTCTTTCTTCTCAATGATTTTGGAAGTCCTGAGCTCTAGGGGGCAAAAAAAGGGTTAGAAACCCACAAAGAAAAGCTGTTTTGTGTTTTAAGTCCCTGAAGCAATTCAAATGAAAGCTTAGCCTGGCATCTCAGCACAGGGTTGAGAAGACTCGGCATTATTAGGCTGGCATTATTTGTTCCAGGTTCTAAATCATCAGGAAGATTAGCTCAGGTGAGGGCCTCTGGGATAATAAGCTCCTGAGAACAACTAGATTAAGTCCAAGCGAGCCTGCAGATTGGGTGCACTGGAGAAGAGTCTGGGCAAAATTCCTTGAGTAGTTTTAATGTTCAGCCCTGGTTTAAGAATTAGGGGTAGGAATTCTGAATTGCTTCATTTCCTTTTGTTTGTAACGGCAGATGCAATCTGGGTGATGAACCCCAGATTCCTGCATGAGTTCTACCCTGTTAAGAAGACCTGCAGTATGACTGAGCCCTAAAAGAATTATTCAAGTGGTACTTCCAGGACTGTATGCAGTGCTCAGAACAGAACCAGGGTCAGCATACTCCTAAGCCCCTGTACTATCTCTCCATCACTACCTTATCAAGTCTTTCTTATTCTTATTGTTGTTTTCCCCTTCTTATTTATTAGTTTACTTTTTTTATTTTAATGAATCACCATGAGATACAGTTACAGACTTACAAACTTGCATGATTACTTTTTAGTCATACAGTGTTTGAGTACCCATCCCTCCACCCGTGCCCATACTCCATCACCAATGTTTCCAGTATTGTTCCGCCACTCCCACCCTTTCCCCTCACTGCCTCTGTGGCAGGCACATTCCCTCTTACTCTCTCTCTTCTACTCGGTGCTATGGTTTGCAATACAGATACTAAGCGGTCATCACGTTTGGTCCATAGGCTACTTTCAGTATGCATCTGCCATGCCGAGCAAGCCTCCAACCATCATTTACTTAGTGGTCCCTTCTCTATCCCAACTGCCTTTTCCCCCGGCACATGAGATCGGCTTCCAAACTGTGGAGTGATCCTCCTAGCCCTTATCTCTACTATACTTAGGTGTTAGTCTCCTATTATGTTACTTTATATTCCACTTAAGCAGAGCTACAGACAGCTAAGGCTGGTGAGCTGAGGCATTCACAACAGGTGTTCATTTCCTTTCCCTGAAGGCATGGCTTCACCGTGGTTTGCTGTAAATACTGATATACTTTGGGTTTTATTGTTGTATGTAAGGAATGAAACTGGAAATTGAGGGAAGGAGCAGTAGTATAGTTGGGAGGATATTTGCCTTGCACATGACCAACCCAGGTTTGATCCCTGGCATTTCATATGGTCCCCCAAGGAGTAATTCCTGAGTAGCAGAGCCAGGAATAAGCCCTGAGTATAGCCAGGTGTGACCCAAAAAAGCAAAAAACAAAAGAAAAAAAAAACAAGCAAAAACAAAACAAAAAAAATGGAGATTGATGCAATATAAGTGGAAAAAATAAAAATAAGAGGAACACTCTGGACTGCATTTTAAGCATTAACATACCAACACCCATACATACTTATGAGAATATATAAATGTGGGTTTAGGGGAAAGTACTAAAGCTGAACTGCATTATTGAATGTGGTACTGTAGTAACTTACCATAAAATCGATGTTGTTGTCTTCATTCCTAAAATGTTCCATCAACTTCTCAAAGCGCTGCTTTTCCCCACAAACCTAAAACACAGATTTTCGTTTTCATCATGCATGTAAAATTCCAAACATAAGCATTCCAAAATTAGAAGCAGAAATTAGCATTAATAATTATTTCCAGAAATCTCTTCCTCCCCACCCCCGCCCGCCAGTATTTACTTCTTTTTGAGCTAGTTAACTCACAAATAATAACATGAGTCAGGATCAAAAGCCAAATTTTGGTTCTTTTTTATGGACTCTTGATATTTGAAATCTGTGTCAAGTGTTTTTTTCTTTCATTGGTTATCTCTGCAGTTGCACCAAATATTTAGTTTCTACTCAGAATCTCAAGATATTGCAGAGTTGATTTTTATTTAAATGAGGAAGGGGAACCCACAGATTTCCTTTTCACAAGAGTACTTTTAAAACAAATATGCTCAAAGATGTGAATAATTTAATACTAAAATTCCTTGAAAAGCAGGTTCAAAATGTCCATATTCTATCTAACGAAGTCAAATTTTAGACAGAAGCTATGATACACATAGTAAATTCAATATTCCACAAATACAATAATCTATTCAAGTCAACTATAGAAATTTGCAGGCACTTATTAAAGTTGCTAAGAAGTAGCAACATAAGGGCTTAAACCGTACACCTGGCTTTAATTTATGCCTTTGGAGAACAGATGAATAAATAGAAAAAGACTGTGAATGCTAGAGACCACAGTGTATATCTATGTGCACACGGAACTAAATACATGGAAATAAAAACCCCAGTTGGGTCAAAGTTGTAGCTCTATGATAGCACATATACCTCACCTATGAGGCTCTGTGGTTGAGTCTCTGCATTATAAAAACAAATAAATAAAAGACCACCATAGAGTCAAAGAAAGATCATGTCAATAACACTGGAAAGTTACTCCAAAAGGACAAATTTGAATTCTATCATGTACTTGGCTTCCTTCTTTGGAGCAAAGATATATGCCCAGTGCTACTTTCAGAAAGCATTTACCTGAATACCTAAGGGTCACTACTATACTCTGGGTAAGTAAAGGTTATCTCTCTGGTCATAAAAACATTTGTTTGTTTGAGGCCATAAGCTGACTCTGCACTCAGGGATCATTCCAGACATGCTGGGGGGGGGGGGGGGGGGGGAGGACCATATGTGATACTGAGTGAGGGTCAAACCCCAGTGGACTGCATGCAATGCAAGTGCTCTAATTATGTACTACCACTTTGGCTCCTGATGTAATTTTTTGTATATTTATTTCAGGTTTTATAGGCTAAACTACATCTCTCAGTCTCATGCTGTGATCTCAGAGGTGTCCAGCTGATCCTGAAGTATTGTCCTAAAATGGTTATTTCATAATGCTTTACTGTCATTTAATTCCATATTAAAGTCCATGTAAATATATATTATATATTATTAGACACACAGAGAGAGTGAGTGAGAGAGAGAGAGTCCCACAAAGGGAAGCATTTTCCCTGACAGACGCAGGTCAAGCAGGGATCTGGAATCCAGACTTGGTGAGCTAACACCCATGGCTTTGGGGTGCAACCCCAACACTCAGTCTGCTTTGCATCACAAACCTCTGACAGTGAAGGATGTGGAAATACAAGTGCAGAAAAGGGGGAGCTGTGTATATGCAAAACAGGAGACCCCAAATCCTGCTGACACTTCTGCCACCACTCAGCTGTGAACTTGGATAATTCAGAAAATTGGCCGGATTTCAGTTTTCAAGTTCAAGAACCTCAAGATTTCATTCCTGGTTTTCAAGTCAAATGGTTACAGAAAAATAAGGGGCTATGAAAGTTGGGAGCTTGATAAACAAGGGGAAAAAGTTTCTTGGGCCTTCTACTGGCTTTTACCCTACTCTAGTCTGCCATATATAGTTGCCAGTACAAGTCCTTCATGTGTGTGTGTGTGTGTGTGTGTGTGTGTGTGTGTGTGTGTCAGAGAGAGAGAGAGAGAGAGAGAGAGAGAGAGAGAGAGAGTCCGTGTGTGTGAGTCTGTGTGTATAGTGCCAGGGATGGAGTCCAGGACTGAGCCAGATCCCTAGCTTAGTCAGATTTCTTTTGGTAAAAAGTGGTTTTTTTCCACTCAAGTCTTTCATTGTTCAGAAAACTGGGAGGGGGAAAAAAAAACCAAAACCCAACAACCTCACTAAATACTATGAAACTCTGAAATTCTAATCTAGGCCTGGCAATGGAATGTGATCTTCCCAAGCTGGCCAGCCTGGAAGCGCCATACAAACCAAATTTAGCAAACTGTATTCAGTCACACAGGCCCTGAGAACCAACCAGGGCCAAAGCACTGTCTGGGCATCTGGCTCCCAGCAGCTTTCAAAGAGGATAATCCTTCCCCGCCCAGATCAAATGGGCCACACCCAGGACAAGCCAGATACATTTCCACATCAAGGGGAACCAGAGCAAAAGCACAATCCCTGCCAAAACAAATACTCAAGTCTGTTCTCCAACATCTGCAAAAGACATTTCTGAACTCTGTCCCAAACCATTTCAATCAGTCTGGGGCTCGGGATGCTAAAGAGGCCATGGCTGGAAGCTTCCCGAAGGGTCAACAGAGGTTAGGACACGATTTCCCAAAGGCAGAGAGAAGACAGTTTAAGCAAAACGTTGTACAAGAGGAGCGACTGGGTAAGCTGGCTTTGAAAAGAAGAGACCAGATCACAGGCCACCTCTGCCTCGACACATCCAAGGACTGTCTTGGCCTTCCCCCAGCAACGGCTCCCAAGACAACACACACACGCCGTCTGCAGAGGGACTGAGGTGGCTATAAAATATGCTTCTAGGTTAGTTATATAAAAATTAAAGGCCCCTGCTTGAGTGTTTCCTTCTTTTTCTGTTGCCTGGCGCCTGACTCAATACTTCCTTTTTCTCTTCTCACAATAGGCCCCTGTGCTCCCCAGGAATCCCCAGAGGAAGGCACAGTTTTGGAGGCACAGTTGATCATGACGGATTAGACGACCCTACCCAAGTCTGCTGGCAAACAAAAGTACCGTTATCTTCGCAGGGCCTGCTGAAGCAAACAGTTATTTCACAGCGAGTCCTGGGTGACAAGTACCTTTCACCTTCTTCTGAGAACTCAAGTCACTGAGAGATATTTGATGTCAGAAAGGTGTAGGAAACCCGCTTTTCTGGGGATTTCTGTGGTTGCTCGGGTCTCTAAGCTTTTGCTGCCAAGGAGAATAGGCATTTCACCCACTGACACCCAAAGGCTGCTGGGACAGAGGCAGACAGAGCACTTGCACCCATTGCTGGCTCGTATGTCTCCATGGGATTTAAAAATAGAAAAGTTTACTGAAGTGCAGTACTTTAAAACTGAACCACTGACCTCATGCCCGGAAACAAACCCAAAGAAAAGCACAACACCTGAACGTATGCTTTAATCTACACGACACTCCTCCAAAACAAATTAAATCTCTTCATCTTGGGCTAGCAAACATGGGCTATGAGCTCGAAGTTTCTTCCACTTAATGCTAAACAGCCTTGTGAAAACTGCAGTCATGTTTCCAGATGTTCCCAACTATCCAGATGTTTGGCACCGGTCACACAAAGCATCCAAATGACTGCTTTACTTTCCACGCATGCATTTTACTGTACTGCATAAAGAACCCTGACATAGAAGCAAAGCACTAGTAAAATCCCCAAAGAACAACTTGTTGACACACCGCACCTGACATGAGAAATGCACTTCTATCACTGTTCTAAGAATAAAATAAAAATAAATAAATAAACAAACAAAATGCTGACCTACCCTGACTTCTAGAAAGGAGGGACCCACAATGCAATTTTTTGTGAAAGATACCTTTTAGAAATATTACTCATGTTCACATTTAAAATCTCTGGCTTCAATTCCAGCCTCAGATCCTTTGGTCTTCAACACAGATAAACAAGGATTCTTCCAAGACATAGATATTTACAGGAAGATCAGTGCTTTCCAGATCAAGACATACTGGTATTTAAGGGTAAATTCTTTTTTCATTTTTCTTTTCTTTCTTTTTCTTTTTTCCTTTTTTTTTTCAGAGGGTGGGGAGGTGGGTCACACCTGCTGGTGCTAAAGGTTTACTCCTGTTTCTGTGTTCAGAGATCACTCCTGGCAGGCTTAAGGGACCATACTGAATGCTAGAGATCCAACCAGCACTGGCTGCATGCAAAATAAGCAACATACTTGCTATGCTATTTTTTTGGACCCAAAGAGATTGGTATTGAAATAGCTACCAAAAATTAAATGTCAAAAACATCAATGGAATGAATAAATCACCTTCAGTCACCATCTTTTGAGGTGTCTGATAAATCTGTCCATTCCTTTGAGTCTTCTCTCCTTTTGGCTTAATCCTTTAAGTATAGCTAGGATGGTCAAGGAAGGGAAGAAAGGGACATAATAGCATAGATCTCATAGCTATTGCACGTTCAATAAACAAGGCACACAAACAAGTGACCGTAGCTCCTCTGCATTTTCCCCACAGTCCTTGGACCCTGCTCAGGAGGCACATGTCAAGCCAGGCTCTTCTTATGCCTGAAACCGAACAAACTGAAAAAAGATGTGATGTGAATTCCAAGTGCTTATAGACAAGGTTGCTTTGTTTGAAAGGGCAAAGGTCTCAGTCTCCCAAGGACACATTTCTCTACTGCTTTCTCTAAGCTCTCACTTCCATCTGCATTTTCTTCTATGCTCTTTCCCAGATCTGAACACTACTCAGAAGAACCTGGTCTGAAGCTACTTGCATCCACTTCTACCCAGACCAAGATAACCATTCTGAGATAACTTTGATATCATGAGATAACGTTGGGTGGATATGGACAGTAGGTAATACAGTATGCTGCCTGGTCAAAGGTTCATGAGGTTCCTTTACAGGTCCTGTGAGACACAAACTATTCTATAATCATAAACTGCCACTACCTTTTGACAGCTGACATTTGCACTGCATTATATAAAAGCATTATATAAAAGTGACGGTCCACGGCAGAGCCTGGCAAGCTACCTGTGGCGTATTTGAATGCCAAAATCAGTAATAATAATGGATC